GTTCTTGAACAATTCGCCTTAACTCCGAGATCAGTTTCCAGAGTAGGATGTTAGGTTTCTTTGTTGAAACCAAATGCCCATGGATGACTGCTGAGCCTTGATGTGGTCTGATAGCTTCAGAAACCAACAAGTTCAAAACATTGCCCACATTTCTTCCAAGCCCTGCACCCAGCTGCTCATAACTCTTCTCTGTGCCAGGATCCCTGTGACAGTGGTTCCGTACCTACCACCTGGTCATTCCACCATCAAGGAGCGCTCACTTCTCCAAATGACGCAACCAGTCATCTAAGATGAAGGCCAAAAATGAAACCCTCTGACCTGTCCAAGGTCTGTATCTTCAGCATCTCTGGCAACAGAGGTTCAGTCTAAATAACATCCTCTCTTTAAGTTCTCATTTGTACCACCAGCTACTTCAGAGTGAAGAAAGTGTCTTTCATCACTGGTTCTTAAGGAGTGGATCTCTGGTCCACATCTCCCAATGCTGCTTAGCCCAGGAAATGAAAAGACAGCTGACAACACAGAGTAACATTAACGAAAAGAACCCCAAACTTTAAATGCACAACTGGGACTGCTGGAATGGGCCAAGGCATACCATGGCGGGTCACTGTCACCAGGAGGGTGCCTATGTTTTAGAAGGAAGTGGCCACCAACACTGGCCACCCTGGAAGGACCCAATGTGACAGCTAAGGACACTAGACAAGCATCCTAGCCTTCTGATCTCAGTGTGATCTTGCCACAGAGCCACTTACAAGCCATTCAGCCACCAGCCTGCAGAGGTGGACTGCTGTGGGAGAGGCTTCGGTGGAACAAACTGGCCTAGAATCTGGTGCCACAGAATAGTTGGCTCATAAATCTTTTATCCCAAAGCACCCCTATTTGCACCGAGCATCTTGTCATTTGGTAGTTCCACAGTGACTGCTCTTCTATTTTACGAAGCCACTTTTCCTACCACTGAAATGTGGTTCCGCATCTTAAGAAACAGGCCAGAAGGAGAGGACCGGTCGGCCACGAACATGGTCTTCCATCTTCTGAGGAGGAGGCTCGTTCCAACGGTATGTCAAACGTCATGACATCCAACGGTATGTCAAACGAAGGAGACCTGGGGTGGTCTGGGTCTCACACAGCTCAAGTTCAACAATGTCTCCAATACACACCAGCTCCTGCTGCCTCAGGGAAGGGCTGTGTGGGAGAATGTCTTAATGCTCACATCAATTCCATGATGTGCCTCAGTGGTTCACGTGACTTCAAGCAGTGTGAGCTGCTGGCGAAGGAGGTTGCATGGAAAATGCCACAACTCAGCTTAAGATTATTTGGACACAAAAGAGGAAAATCAAGAGGCGGAGAAATCAGCGTGAAGTTAGGCTAGAACTGTGGATAGATGATGCCTTGGTATAGTCAAGGTGGGTGGGTTGGTCCAGTAAAATGACTGCACCATCACACAAGCCAAGTTTTCTCTTTTATTGAAGTGTTTCTGAAGCATTTGTTATGATGGGCACTACACTGCTAGTGTTTTCTACTTAAAGAAAAGCCACCTACATAAGACAAAAACAAAATGACATCAATAACTTGGACAGTTTAAACAAAACCCTTATAACCAGCTGATCGATCTGTAGAAATCCAGTTGTGGAAACCGGTAGGTATGTGCAAAAGAGAGGAGAGGCCATTATTCCAAGGGGTCACCTACAGTGTGGAAGAAGAAAACCCTGATCAAACAGTATTTCTCAATGACCTTAAGATCCCCGGGGTCTTGGGAGAGATGGGTCATGTTCTGGCAGGAGGAAAAAGGCTCCTGAGCGCATTCACTTAGTACTGGAATTGCAAAGGAACCATCCACACTTGGGGAAAGCTGCCCGCCACATTTCCCAGCTAAATCATCAGTGCCTGTAAGAGCAGCTGCTGGAAGAGGGGAGCGAGCCGTCTGTCCTGTGAGTAGCAGGACCAGGGACAGACGGAGGTACAGCCCTGGCGGGGGGTGAGCCACCACGGAGGCTCGGCGCCGACCACTGGCCTTTCCAGCCCGAAGGTTTGGTACATCTCTGTCTACCCCTAGGGGAGGAGGAGGTGAGGGAGAAGTTGAGAGGGCAGCCTGGAGGGGGAGGGAACTCTGCTCCTGTGTGTGTTCTATTAGGGACTGGCTGTGAGGTTAGGAGCCTCTGCATTCTGGAGCACAGGCTGGGCAGATCTTACTCTCCAGCTGCTGCTGCAGCTGCACCTTTGTGCTGAACGAATGCAGCAGCCATGGCCGCATGGCCCTGCCTCGGTGCAAGCCTCCTCCAGGGATGCAGGAGCAGCAGCAAGGGGAGCAAACCCAATATGCCTTTACCCAGAAGATTCTCACAGAGACTATGCTGCCTGGACACCTTCCTGTCCTCAGAACCTGAGGAACAACTGCTCTCTTAAGGAGGAAATGTGTTCGATCTGCATGGAAGCAGTTTGTTCCAAAGACAACCAGCCAGGGACAGCCTGGTGGCCCCCTGAAAGTGTGCTCTGGTACCCTCCTTGGCCTCACAAGGCCACTGGCTAGGAGAGGAGGAAAAATCTAACACCTTGGTGGAAACCAAGATAGAAAAAAAAAAAAAAAGAATAAAAGCAACACAAAACGAGACATCTCAGAAAAAGGCAAGCTGTCTGAAATACGCAGAGAGGTGAGTCAGTGTTGCTTTGACCCCGGAATACAGCCTGGCTTCTCCCTGCATCACCTGGGTGTGGAGCCTGTGGTGTGGATGAGGTTACCAGTATCAACGGCCTATTGTCAGGTGCTGAGAAATGTGAGATGTATTCTTTTGTCTATATACACATATAAAAAATAAGAGTGAGGTAGATAAATGTTTGGGGGGAAAAAAACCCAAAAAATCAAAAACTGTCCCATCACTCATACACACGCACACCCCACACACATACACACACCCTTTCCTTGAAATTTAAATTCATAATGGGGCTTCTCTACAGTGATTGAAACTGGCATCACAAAATAAATTAAAAGAAAACTCCTACATATAATACCTTCTTTTTTCTTTTTTAAAAGGGAACACACTATGGGATAGAGGCTAGAGAAAGCAGTGAGACAAACTGCTGACAAGCAAAAAAGCACTACAGACTTTTTTTTGTGTTTAATCTTCAGTCACAACTAGCAATCACCGTATCCCAGTTTTGTTCTTACTCCTAAACATTTCCATCCCAGAAGCAACTCTTGTGCCGTCATCTCTCTGGTGAGAAGTGCTAAAAACAAAACAAAACTAAACAAGACCCCTGGGCCCCGAGGACCTGGATTCCTGGCCGAGGGAAAGAGGGCCAGCACCACAGCCCCGGTCCCCTGGCAGGGAGCAAAGGGGCTCTTGGGCCACTGTGGCGTCTGCACTGCCCTGACCTGGCGCTCCAGCTGGCACAGCCCTGAGGATGCCGCCCTGGGCCAGCCTGGATCCCAGGGTCCCACTCCCTGCCAGTGCAAAGGAGGTCCCTTGGGATGTTCTGGTTCCAAAGACAGGTCGGTCAGTCGGTCTGGTGAGGGTGCTGGCGAGGGCCACAGCAGGGCCTGCCGGACCACGCTATGCTGCTCCCTTGGACTCAGCAGCTGTTTTTCATGGGATGGAAAGATTAAATAGCCATTAAAAAAAAAATAGTAATCCAAATGCCTAGTGTCTGCAGTTAACACTGCTGTTGTACCCAAGAATTAAAAAAATATATATATGTGTGTCACAACCTAAACAAAGGCAAGGGAAAGAGAGGGTGAGGCTTCTCAACCACGGTGGAGTGGAAACACTGAACAAAGACGTGTGAAGTATTTAACCTTTGTTTTTCTGACCTGAGTTTGTATCATGTCTTGCACTGTAACAGACTCCAATGCTGTGAGGGCGGGCTGGGGAGAGGAGCACGGCCCTCTCAGGACGGGTGCCCGGCCTTCTTTCCGCCTCGTGCCCTCACCAGCCTCGTGCCCACAGAGCCTACGGGTTAGAAGACAACTAAAGGGGGAGGTGGGAGCAGGGAGGGGGATGTATTTATAAAAAGGCATCAAACAGTTCATGGCAAATTATGTCGTAGAAGTATCAATTACCGGGAAAAGAGGAAGAAAGTCACGCACTCTAGTACAAAGCATAAGAAGTTTCTTGGAGTGAGCAGAAAGGGGAGAGGGTGGACCTGAAGGTTTTCATAGATTAAATCCACAAAGATCAAGAACAAAAAAAATAGCAGCTTTTTTTTTTTTTCTGTACAGACGTATAGATGAATATCTGAACCGTAAAAAAGTTATAAAAGTGACATTAAAGACGATGTGTATGCAAATGTTTCATGGTCTAACATAGAACTGTAAGACCCATGAAGAAGTCCTAGGAACAGAGAAATGTCAACAAAGCTTAGAATGCTTGAATCCATTGACTGCTTTTCTTCTTACTGCTGTTGTGGTGTTTGAATTTCTTTCCTTGCAAACCTGCATCAACAGTTGGGCTGAGTCCCTGGAAACCCCTTCCCATCTGTGTCCTTGGGGGTGGGCTGGGGAGCTGGGGCTGGGAGAGAGGCAGGCATGGGACCCCTTGACTCAAAGCCTGTCCACCAGGCTGCTTCAGGGCCTATGGCCACTAGATTCTTGGGGGTTGGGCGGGGGTGGGGAGGCAGGGCAGGGAAGCCAGTTTAGCTTCTCCCCACCTTCACTGAGAGAAAGTCCCATTGTGTCCAGTTCCCCCAAATAATAACCTAGTCAGAAGCAATGAGACCTGTGTGCATGTGGCCTTGAGAAGCACAGCAGGGGCAGTCAGACGGACGGAGCGTGTCGCCAGCGTGTCTCTCAAAACGGAGCAACCAGATGCCACGCTCACCCATGCCTCCGGACACAAGGAATCAGCGCAGGGACGGTGAGGGAGAAAGTTCAGGATTTTGGCAAAATTAGGCAGCGTTAAAATGGTAACAGCCTTGGATGAACGATGGCCCTTTGTAAATTTCATGTCCCTAGAAAGGTGAAAGATAAAGGTAAAAACTTCCATCTCCACGTGTTTTTTTTTGTAATGACCTACGGTGTCGGGCGGGTGTGTACAGGGGTTGGATGGGGTCACAGGGACAGCCACTTCCTCAAACTGATAAAAAAGGGCTTCCCAGCTGGACTTACGGCAATTATTTTTCCATTATGAAGCAGAGAGAAAGAGAAAAGTGACAGAGAGTGAGAGAAAGGGAGGGAGAGAGAGAGAGGATGAGGAAGGACAGGGACAGAGTAAGGAGACTGGTTCTCAAGTGCTCTGTTGCTATTAAGTGTTGTCATTAAGGTTCTTAAAGGCCCATGTCAGTTAAGGGTTTGGGTAGGGAATAAAAAGCTGCTTGCATATTGAAAAAAGGAACATCCCAAATGTGTTTACTGCAGAGAAGCTGTCTCCCGCGGGCAGCAATGGCAGTTCTGAAGATCCACTGAGGTACAGGAGGCTTGTGAATAGATTGTTAAAACTTTCTCTCTCCCCCCACCCCGCTGAGCGTGCACACACGTTACTGTTTGCACAGATTCAGGATCCAAGGATCAGCAGGTCGAAGACTGGGGCAGCGGCAAGGCCCGCTCGTTCTTGCGGCCACCGTTCATGTGTGCGTAAGGCTGTCTCTCATCGAAGCTGGCGCGGAGCACCAGCACTCCAGGGCCGGGGCCGTTCTCGGCCTTGTGTCCTGAGTGTCTGTCGGGCAGTGGCAGGGAGGACGAGGAGGCCGAGGGGTCCAGGGGGACGCTCTCCATGTTCTCTGGCTCCAGGTCCAGCTCCTCCGGCTCGGGCAGCTTGTTCTCCTCACTGTAGTAGAAGGAGACCTCCCGGAAGCCAGGCTCCATCTCGTCTTTGATGCTGCTGATGATCTCCAGGAAGGAAGGCCTCATCTTGGGGTTGTACTGCCAGCACATGCGCATCAATTCAAACCTGCAGCCAAGACACATGGAAGGGGGGTCCAAACTGGGAGGGCGTTTGTGGCCAAGAGGCTTCATGGGCCGCCTGCAGTGGTTTCCCGCCTATAAGCGTATGGTGGGAGCACTGAATACAACCCTACTGTCCCTCTCCGTCCCTGGCTTCCTGCCTGGATGGCCCAAGTGGCCTTCAGAGTCTCCTGTTTTACCTCGTATGGTTCCATTCACTTCACCCAGAACTACCACAGTACAAACCCAAACTCTCCTTTCCCAAGAAGCACTTATCTAGGTCCACACTGTCCATCGTTACAGGTATTATTTATGGTGTCAGTGCTAAGAAATAAAAATAAGCAGTTTTCTATCTGAGACATCTCATGCAGCCACTGCTGAAACATCCTTTCCAGAATTAGAAAGCAGGAAATCCCCGGTTTCTAAGAAGGCTGATGAGTGACCGCAGCTTCCCCAATGCTCTCTCTCCAGGTCCCACCTGTTATTTCTAAGCTTCCTCCTGGTGCAGGGCTACCCCTGGCAGAGGACCAAAGGAAGAAGGCACCATGAGGCCAGGCTTGAAACACGAAGAAATGCACACTCCGAGTCTGCTGCTGTCTCCACCTAGCACCTGCTTGCTCCAGCCCTGCACAGGCAAGCCCCAGCCGATGAGCCAGGCTATTCTGGACCAAACAAGAGGCCCAGTGTAGACCCGAAGCCAGATTCCAATGAGCCAGCAAGGAGAGCCCTGGGCACAAGTCCACTCCACAAGCAAGGACAGGCAGAACAGGATGACGCTTGTGCTGTGTCTTGGTCGCATCGGCTGGGCTCCGACAGCACCTGGGCTGCAAATATCTGTGAGGCCCTCAGAGTCGCATGGGACAAAGGAAGTCTTGCCAGCTGTGGCCAGGGCCCCCCACGAAAACAGTCAGCCACACGCGGACAAGGAAAGCCGGCTGCCCTGACCCAGGAAAGGCCCGGGCTTTGACAAGCTTCCAGAACGCAGAAAGACCCAGGTAAACAGACTTTTGGGGCAAAAAGGTACAGCTGGCTACCGTCCAGGGCTGGCCATAGTTCTGAGGAGTGACTGCCAACAGCCCTCTTACGTGAGCGTGAAACCAAAGTGCCTTCCTTTCCACCGCTGTTCTCACCAGGCAGCTCTCCTCTTTGTTTTAAAATTCTTCCTAAAGAGATGCTTTTCCATAAAAGTGGCCACATAGAACTCTCCACATCTAGGAAACTCAAAGCACCCAATGGCATCTAGCCTCCTGTCAGGCCGGCTGCTTAACCACAGACCACCTGCCCATCTCTGGCTTTCAGGGAAAATTCCAAGGGGAGGCCCTTGATGTAAGATAAGCCACTCGGCCTGGAAGCTGGCCTGCCAAGAGAAGGGCTCTAATGGCCACCTGGCAGCTTCCTTCAGATAGAGATGGTGCAACCTTGAGGGAGGGTGGGCCTAGGAGTGAGGGAGAGCCATGCAGAATCCACTAGAATTCAGCGTTCTGGAGCCTGGGGGTCTGCGTCTCCACAGGGTCTAACCCGGGGCTAGCCACCTCTGCACATCAGCTGCACTGGCATGGGCCATGCTCCCTCATTTCCATGTGGGCTGCAGCTGCTTTCCAGCTACAACTACCAGCTGAGGACATTAGGACAGAGACTGTGGCCTGCAAGTCTAAAAATGCTTATTTACCGTGTGGCCCTTTACAGAAGGAAGGTTGCGGGTTCCTTTTCTGGGGGTAAAGGAATTAGACAAAATATGAAGCACCCCACAGTATGCTTCTTAGATATGGAGAGTTCCATGTGGCCACTTTTCCGGAAAAGCATCTCTTTAGCCACAATTTTAAGTCTACCCCACAGTAGAATGCTGTGTGCACACTAGGTGCCAGGCAGTGAGGCAGTTATGTGTGTGAACGGATGAAGTCCTCACGAGTTTGTGAAGCAGGTGCTACTGACTATAATATACACCCATGTTACAGACGGGGGAACAGAAGCACTCAGACATTAAATAATTTGTCCAAGGTTATGAAATTCACGAGGGTGGAGCTGGGATGGAGTTCTCTGTGCAACAGGATGACTACACTTTGATTGCCAACGACCCCGGAAAAAGGAATTTTCTCTTAATCTAAGTAAGAGTAACCCTGGGCCCACCAGGAGACCCTCCCTTGCCTAACTGTCCAAGGGACAGTCACAGATGTCACAGGGATGTGGTTTGCATTGATAAAAACTGGCAGCTTGATGACAAATAAGCCTGCCTTTCCATACTCCCCATCACTTCCTAAGAAAAACGATTGGGGTTAAAAAAAATTAAAATAGGCCATAATGACATGAAATGCATCTCCATATGGCTGGGATATGAACTCCTCTCCGGCTGACTTGCCCCTGGGCAGAAGCGTACCCGGGCCAAGAGCATAAGATGTGCTTGGCTTTGTGCCTGTGGCCGGGGACTGAGGAGGTGCCACTGGAGGGGCAGCGAGGCAGTGACATCAGCACAAACAAGCCATGTGATGCTTCTTTTAAACCATTCCAGAGTAACAACCCTTCCAGGGCTGCCCAAAAAAGGAAGTCTTTTTTGCTCTGTGGGATTCAAGACCTTGTTTACTATTTCCACACATACAAAAAATCTCCATTAGACTCTAGAAGGATGTGTGAGCTGATAAAACTCATCTTTTAAAAAGCACTTTTTTTTTTTTTTCCATGGGTCAGCTCTGGTGAGTCTGGAGCCATCCTTCTCGAATGCTCTCCCCTTTGGGGGACACATACCCGGCCCTTCTGGAACAGGGACAAGACTCAAATGGAATTCCTGCCCTGCTGGGAAGCAGCCGCCTGGGGGCCAGCTGTGCCCCCTGGAGGCTGGGTGATGGTCAGCAGGATGAACACATGGAGGTGCCTCTGTATTCCCATTCCACTCTTGGCCCTGATGTCCTGAACTGGACAGGCTGTGACCTCTGTGGGATGTCAGCAGGCCACGAGGCACCCGCACATTCCCGCATGCTGCCGACGCTCACCGGATTCGAATGTGTCTCTCTCCTGGCAGCCCTCAACAGTGAGGGTTGTCTTAGGAACCACGCCTCAGCCAGGAGGACATGGGGCCTGTGTGCCTCCGTGAGCTCACTGGGAATAACTGAGCAGGAGCGCCCTTCCTGCCTGTTTGGATCCCACTCAAGCACTCGATTCCCGCAGAACCAAACCAGGATTCCAGCAATGGGAAAAACTACAAAAAAACATCAGATTTCACTAAGTTTGTTTCAGACTCATCTATTAGTTGATAATGCTCCAGGCTAAAAGTTCAGATTCCCTCCTGAATCCTGCAGACCGAAGACATCTCTGGCAAGAGTCCGGACATGTGGAGCTGTGGAAGTGTTACCAGAACAAATGGCTTCCTAGCCCAAGTTTTCCACGGCTGCGTTCACACCTCTGTCCCGGCCCTTATCCCGGAGCATCAGAGCTGGGACCTTTTACGTCACTACGTTTCATGAAAGCCAGGGCCACTCCTGGCTCACCTGTGTGACCTCAGCGTCAGCATGCACCCAGAGGGGCTAAACAACATCTGTGGCATAAATACTGAGATCTGGGCTGAAATAAGGCTGAGGATGGGCTTTGTCATCAATCTGAAGTACAGACCCAACAGGGAACCACAACCCAAACCCGTGGTACTTGCTGAGTTAATTCACACTGAGTCATGGCGTTGAGACTCAGACCTCAACACCCCATTGCTTGGGGACCATGGAGCCCTTCCTCTAAAGCCAGAACACTCGGTGACACTGAGGGGTGAGAATCTGGCTACTTCCTGATGGTGAGCTCCAGTTCACCTGCAGCCACTGAGCTCCTTCAGCCCCCCAATGTCGCCAGGTAGTGCCTGTTCAGATCTCAGAACCACACAACTCACACACTTTCTCAACTGAGACCTAGTAGAGGTTTCAGGGCAACTCGCAAGGGCTCACGGACTCTCCTCTCTGGGATACACAGAGGCCATTCTTTCATGTCTTGTAACAACAGAACTCCCATCCCAGAATCCTCCTTTCTCACGTAAGCTCATCAGTAAACTCAGAATGACAACATGGACACTCCCTATGAAACCAAATTGCCTCCTTTCATTCTACTCTTTTCTTGGAAGGGAGAAAAATTCTCGATGGCAAAGCAGAAATGCCTCCTGAAGTAAACATTTAATGTCAGAGTAACTGCTTTGAGTAAATTTCCTTGTCACTCTATGCTGGGAACAGGAAGTGCCCTGCGTTTCCCATGGCAGGTAGGCTGCATCCCAGGCAGCTTACGTTAATATTAAGACCCCAGTTACCTGGAGGTGGACCAAGTAAGAATCCCACAAGTCTCTTGTAGATAAACGTTTACCCGAGTCAAAGAGAAAGCACAGAAACAACACACTCTCCCTCACCCACCCCAAACCACAGAAGCAAAACTCACACCTGCTTTCATGGGCTGTTTCTAAGCTTGCTAAAATACCACCAGTTCTAATATTAGCCTAGATTCTGGCACTGTACCTTTATGCAAATTCAGTGGTCGTCAGCTCTCATACTCCATGGCTTATATTCAGAGTCGAAAGCATGATTTTTCTTACAATGGCTGACAAGAAAATAGTGGCTGTACTGCTCAAAGTGTGGAGCGGATGGTCACCTGTGAGGGGCACTGGGGGTGTGTGTGTGTGTGTTGATGGGGAGCAGGGGAGTAGCCAGGCTCCCGGATCCCCAGTGGTCCTCTCCCTCATGTCCTGGGGCTCACATCCCCATGTGATTGACTCCCACATGGTGTAACCTGAAGGAGAAGGTGGGAGCTTCAGAGTGTGACTTCTGAGGTCTGGTCAGAAAGGACGTTGTGCCTTCTGCTCAGGTCCTGGATCTTTTACTCTAGGGCACAGCAGGCAAACTATGTACCTGTGGGTAAAATCTGGCCTGTTGCCTAGTTTTCCAAGGTCTACGGCCTAAGAATGGTTTTCATGTAAATGGCTAAAAGAAATTCAAAATAAGAATATTTTGTGACAACATAAGAGATTATGTGGAATTCAAATTTCAGTATGCAAAAATAAAATTGTATTGGAACATAGCCACACTAGCTTATATGACACGTCCAGCTGTGTTTGCTCCACAATGGCAGAGTCAAGTAATCACAGTTGAGGTCGTATGGGCCCACACAGTCAAAAAAAATTTTTTTTTTTTTTTTTTTGAGACAGAGTCTTGCTCTGTCGCCCAGGCTGGAGCGCAGCGGCCGGATCTCAGCTCACTGCAAGCTCCGCCTCCCAGGTTTACACCATTCTCCTGCCTCAGCCTCCCATCAAAAATATTTTTTAGCCGGCCTTTTAGAGAGAGTGTGCCAAACTCTGCTCTAAGAGAAGCCAGCTATACATCCTGAGACACTCAGGCAGTGCTACGGAGAGGCCCATGTAGAACAGGGTGGTTCATGCAGGGCATACTACCTATGCAGCAACACCTTGCAAGTGGGTCTGCCTGCCCCAGGCAAGCTGTCAGATGACTGCAGCCCCAGCGGACAGCTGGGCTGCAACCGTGAGAAGGGCTCCAAGCCAGAGCCAGCCGGCTATGCCGCTCCTGCATTCCTCACCTTCAGAAACCTCTGAGTGATAATACATGTTTACTGTTGCTCTCAACTTGTAGGTTTTGGGTAGTTTGTTATACTGCGATAAAAAACTAACACAGAGAGAAGAATTTCTATACTGGGTAAGAAAAGGTACTAAGTGGTCTTTCGAGTCTCTTCCAAGTTTGGATTGTGGAATTCTGAAGAGGCCATGCTGTCAAGTTGGCTTGATGAGGGCTCCAGGAAACCCAGTGCTTCTGCATCTGTAGGTGCCACCCTCAGAGAAGAGGAGCCTCCCATCACTGGCACAGGCCCAGGGCACCAGCCAACTTTCCGGTTCTGGCCCTGCCTCGATAGGACAATGGGGACCTCGACATGTGCTAGCTGTGCTGGGGTGATGCCTTCACTCTGGCTTTCCCTGGCATTCTCCCTGCAGCCACCTTTCTGAATTCCACACAAAGTGTCCATCGCCTGGGACACACTTTAGCTGAACCTATGTTCAGAAGCAGCAGCTAACTGAGCATGACGCCCAGCCAACATACTCCCAAAGCACAGGGGTGTGTGTCTAGTCTTCCCCACCCCATGCCCTCCAGAGGCCGGCCATTTACAAGGAGCTTAGGGATTCAGTATTTGTAGCAACACTCAGAGTGCTTTGAAACAAAAATTGCACCTTGACTGTTTGATAAGGACAATGATTTCTGAGACTATGGAATTCTAAGATGCCCCTCAAGATTGCTGCCCCTGGTGTAAATATCCCATATAATCCCCTCACTTGAGTATGGGTGGGACTTGTCAACATGAGAGGATACTTCACTCCTCTAATTAGGCTTCTAATCAGTTGACTGAATCACTTAAAAGGGAGAGATTCTCTCGGGTAGATCTGACCTCATCAGGTAAAAAACCAGTAGAAGCAGTAGAGAGTGATCCTCTTATCAGTCTTGAAAAAATAGACTGCTGTTATGAGCAGGCCTACGGAGGGTGTATATGGCAAGGACTGTGAGTGGCCTTGGCCTCCAGAAGTTGAAAGCAGTACCCAGGTGACAGGTGCCAAGAATATGGGGACCTCAGTCCTGCAACTGCAGAACCCTGAGGTGCCTTAAGATGGCCCTGAGCCTCAGGTGAGACCGCAGCCCCACTGACTTCTTGATTTCTGCCTCCTGCTACTCTGAGCTGAGAACAAGAACACCTGCATCTGGATTCCTGGCCCACATTGTACGGGACCAAATGAGCAAAGCTTTGTGGCTGCTGGAGCCCGCATTCCCTCCCGTCCACCTGACACACGTCTGGTTTGTATTTATCATCCCGCCACTGTGGACCCAGCCTGAGTCTGTGCTGGCTCCAGGTGGGTGGATGGGTGAGAGGTAGGAGCTGGGTGCCTTCATGCAGACGTAACAGCCCAGTAATTCCTCAGGATCCTTTCCAAAGTGAAGCCAGGCCTGTCCTGAAAAGCATTTCTGGAAATCTAAATTGGTCTTGAGATACTAGTGGGAGCCTACCTTTATGTTCACCTATGGAGATCCAGAACAATCTCTGAAGCCTGCCTTAAAGTGCACGTCAAAAGCAAAGTCATTGTTCCCAACCTGTACCTGTTGTGCACCTGACGACTGAACCAGAACACCTTCACCCCCTCCTCAAACTTGTTCCAGGAAAGACAAAGAGGCCTCCCTGCTCCAGCAGCTCTGACCTCCACTGAGCCACCAACAGCACCATCCATGGACACAGAGTAAGTCCTCCACCAAAAGTGGGGCTTCTCCAGGGAGTGCTGAGTAGTGAGGCATCACAAACTCTCTCTCGTCATCTGACAAAACTTAGGACTAAAAGCTGCAAAGTGTGTTTTCAAAATAAGTGGGGTTGCCAGGTGTGATGGCTCATGCCTATAATCCCAGCACTTTGGAAGGCTGAGGCAGGCAGATCATCTGAGGTCAGGAGTTCGAGACCAGCCTGGCCAATATGGTGAAACCCCATCTCCACTAAAAATTAGCTGGGCGTGGTGGTGGGTGCCTGTAATCCTAGCTATTTGAGAGGTTGAGGCAGGAGAATTGCTTGAACCCGGGAGGCAGAGGTTGCAGTGAGCCAAGATCAGGCCAATGCACTCCAGCCTGGGAGACAGAGCGAGACTCCATCTCAAAAAAAAAAAAAAAAAAAAAAAGTGCAATGAGAAGACAAATTCACCAGCGCTTCGCAGGGATGTCAGCTCACACACACTCCAGGTCCACACTGGTCAGTGGATGAAGCTCTGGAGAGCATGTTACTTGGATGGTTTATGACTTTTGTGAACACTTAACAGAGAAGACATGTGGGGCAGGGTTCAGACGACACTAAGCTGACCCTACATGGCGCATGCTGGAGTCCTGACCATGCAGCTCTGTGTACACTCACTGCAGCAGTTCTCTCAGGCCTGCCAAAGGTGGGGCGGGGGGGCTCTTGAATTTGACTTCAGAGTAGTAAGTGTTGTGTTGTTGCCTTCTTTAAAAAGAAACAAAACCTCACATGGAGAGGATGAATAAGGATGGATTACTCTGGCCAAACATTTCAGAGACATTTGGGCTGAGAAACTATAGTGCGAACTGCAAATCAGAACGAAAGCATTAAGGAATATGGGGTAGAATTAAGGTGCCCATGGAAAGGCACAGGTCTACCAACTAAACTCAGCTCCTTCCATGAGGACGAACCTTTCCTCAGCCGCGCCTGGCGAGAGAGGTGAAGGACCAGAGAGAATGGCTTTAATCTAATCTCCTGTGACCAAGGAAAACAGGCATTTGAGAAGAGAAATCAGAAGAGCACTGAGGGGGCCCAGGAAGTACGTACAGCATGTCGGGGCAGTTGTCTGGCTTGTCCAGAAGGCCGCCCTCCATGACGAAGCGAAGGACTTGCTCGTTGGACAAGCCCTGGTAGGGCTGCTCGGCCAGTGTGGCGATCTCCCAGAGGACAACCCCGAAGGACCTACAGGGAGAAAAAAACTGTGAGAAGCTTGGAAATGGATGGACTGAACCATGCTGCCCCTTACTTTCCAGCACTTCTTACATCCTGAGCAGAGAAACTGTCCTTACTATGGTGACAGTGATTGTCAGACAGCGAGCTGGGCCCTGGGCTAAGTGCAGGACATCATCCTCCCTTTGTTGCTGCTAATGCTCCCCATAGACTAAATTCAGCCCTGGTGGTAGAGCTAATGAAGGTGATGGTGAGGGCACTTTCAGCATCCCTTGCATGGTCAGGAAGCCCCTGATCTATGCTTTGAACGCAGAGTATACTGGGTTCGTCATCTACCTAGTCCCAGCCATTTACCTGGCAAGGCAGTACCTCCCAAACTGGCTTTAACCCAAAATGAATGACATTGTTGTCCAAGCCCTAGCATGGACATTGACTTGGTAGCCTCGAATGAGGCCTGGGACAGTCAAGCTTTACCAAGCTCCTCAAGTGATTTTTATAATCAGACAATTTTGGAAACCTCTACCCAAGTGGTTCTCACTGCTGGCTGCACAGGAGAATCTCCTGGGGAGGTCTTCAACAGAGGCCTGGACACCCAATAGAAACTCTAATTTGACTGGTCTCAGGTGAGGGCCTGGGTCCTGGAATGTTTAAAAGATCTATAAGGATCTTGAGGTCCAGTCGGGCCAAGGGAGAAAAGAACTCCTGCTGCTCCCCTACCTCCAACAGAGCTGGGGAGCTGCTGGCTTGGAGGGCCTCTGTGTCATAGGTGGGGGGACCAGGGTGGGCTGCACTGGCTGGTAGGGGGTATCATGGAGAAAGAATCCTTAAGCAGAGAAGTTGGCTGAGGAATAACTTTGTAGTGAGCAATTCTGCCATGTATGCAGCTTTGTCAGTTTAGAAGATCAAACTACTGGAAAACAAATTAAAACAGATAGTACACGTACACAAATTTCAGACAGAATGTTAAAAAAGACAATGCTGGAATCTGCAAAACAAATGTGCCCTCCCAGGGCAAATCTCCATAATTCACAAATTCTTCCTGGCCTGTGTGCCTTTCCACGTGGTTCCCTTTGCGGAGTAAAGTAGGCTACTCATCAGCAAGTAGGGGCAGGGATTCTAGCTGGACCTGTCCTGGGCTACAGGTGCTGGTCAACCCTCATGGAAGAACCTGGGGCAGGAGATTTTCCACCAAGAGTTCTTGGGACCTTGACCTTGTGCCCAAGTCCACAGGGCCCCTGACTGTATGAGAATGTTTTATTCACTGCTTCAGCTACTTTCGGTGAATCAAAAATTTTTGTACAAATTGATACTAAAAGTAGATGCTAGACAGAAATAGAATCTTGCAATCAGAGGACAGACCAACCCAAGGTCCTTTTTAACTGCAAGTGACCAACAAATGCTGTCATCTTCAGGTTGTACAAGAGACCCAGAGGTCAAAGCGCAGCTTAGAGAGGCCTGGGCCCACGGGAGAAGGGGCTCTCCCTCAGCTTTTGCAGGAAGCTCTGCCTTCTGCAACCAGCCCAGCCATACGGGCAGCATGCCTCAGTGGCCAGTGGCAAGTAGGACCCACACATCTGAAATGCAGCTTGGTACAAGAAATGACTAGCTCTCCAACAACAAAAAATTAAAAACAAAATAAAAAAGAAGAAATGACTAGCTCTCTGCTTTTGCTGACTGCAGGCTGGTCTGGGAAATGGCCTGAGGATGTGGCTCCCTCCCAGGCCCACTTCTTCTCTTGCCCCACGTGTCTTTCCTGGCTGTGTCACTGGCTTGCAGGCAGCCAATTCTCACGGCATGGCTCCCACCTTGGCCTTCACGGCCCAACTGCTCCATTCCAAGTTCCCGGTTACTGGGCTACCCACAAACTCAGTGCGTCTCACACTGAACTCTGACTCGTCCCCTGTTCTTCCCTGGCTTCCCTGCAGCTGATGCCTATTCCACCTGAGCAGTCTGCCTGCTGTCACCCATGCCCTCGGCATCCTCGGAGTCCCACTGCGACCTGTCCACTCAGGCTCACATCTGTCCAAGGTCTGGCACCCTCCTTCCGTCCCCCAGAGCTCCCTCAGTGTGCAGGATCCTCCTTGCCTTGCCCACCACACCCCTCTCTTCTTTGGTTACAGCGTCTTGCTCAACGCAGCCGTATACTCCGGCTAACAAGAACTTATTCAAGCACAGCTCTAATCACCCTCCGGTTCAGAAACCTTAACAGGGCTTAAAGAATTAGTCCAGAATCCCTAACACAACAGCTGAGGCCTGGCTTGATCTCTCTGCAGCCTAAGTCCCCCAAGGAAACCCCACCAACCCCATCTGCAGCAGGCGCTCCCTACTGCCATGCCTGCCCAGTATTCTCACTGCCAGGAACCCCCCACCTCCCCCTGCCCCGCTTCCTAGTGCTCCTTTTGTGACAATCCATACTTAGGGTGCCTACACAACTTCATCTCTTCTGTGAAGGCTTCTGCAACCCCAAACTGTCAGAATCGCTTCCTCTTCTCCACAAGACTTTATCCTTCAAGGAACAGGACGACAACGACATCACCACCATCATCATCATCACCATCCCTGCATCTTCCACACCCCCAAGAGCCTTATCATCACACACAGGCAACAATACAGGAGGTGGCGGACCCAGCTCTCCACAAATGCTTGTCAAGTTGAACCGCAAAGCCTATCTCCTGAGCAACTCTTGTCTGAGGTCAGCATCACCTGTCACCGAGGGCCACCGAGTGCTGGAGTCTGTCGTCCTTCACAGCTTAATGTGACAGCTGCAAGGTGTGGAGATTGAACCATCTCTACCCAATACCAGTTGCTACAGCAGCCATTTAAACCTCTATTCAGGTACCACAGACTTCTCTAGACAGACCTTACCTTACAGATGGAGCAACCGAAGGCCAGAGAAGCTGAGGTTTAACCAAGGCCACACAGCCAGTCAGAAGCACTGAGAAATATGCAACACTTCTGTGGTTTTCAAAACCAGTATTTTCCTGTGTGGTGTTGGCTATTCATGACTTCATATAAAATCAAGTCTTCCATTTCATGGACAGGTTTAATCTTCAAACATTAGATAAATGTCTCTGTGTAAAGCCCTTTCTAATTAGGAATCTTGAGGTTGTTTCCCCAGGGAGCAGACCTGCGGCTGTGAGTCCCCCCGCAATGCCCGTGCTGGATGGAGGCACCATTCAGTAACTACACTTCCCCACACCAGGAGGCGATGGTAGCAATGGCCCACTCACCAGCAAATTAAAACCTACAGAGAAATCCACATTCCCCACAGATGGTAATTCGCCATGAAAGCAGCAAATAACCTTGGCTATTTGTGACTATTTGGAAAGCTTCTTAATAAAAAATAAAGATTATGTGTTGGGTGATCCAGATGCTCAGGAAGAAGACGCAGCTCTAGGCTGTGGGGTGCAGTTCCCCAGTCCTTTGCCTGGTTTCCTCCATGCCTAGAGGGCACCCTTGTCATTTCAGAGGGACAGGTGCTACAGGGAGCTGCGGGGAGAGCAGCTATAGCGCCCAAGGGCCTGGGAATAAAGTCTTGGAAGATAGCAGGAAACCTGGAGGTTTTCTGCCCAGAACAGACACACCTCCTTAGATGATTCCTAGACCTATCTTATCAAGAACAGAGCAAGGTATGCAATTGTGCTACAGAGAGAAGGTCCAATGGGTGTCACACAGAGGCTGACACAGCAGAACACGAGGGACTTGCCTAGAACAAGGACGTCTAAAGCATGAGGCTGGCCTGCCTCTGTGAGGAAGTGAACATGGAGTCCCTAGAAACCTCTTAGTAGAAGCTCAACCACCAGCTGTCAAAGATGCTGTGGGTGCGTTGGGGACTGCGCCTGACTGCAGGGGTATATCCCAAATCCTAAAATTCTGGGGTCTCTTCTACAAAGTCAAATAAATTTGTGTTTCTTTCTAGATTTTTAACTATTTAGGAATCACTGCTTTGTGCTGTTGAATACAATCTAAAATCATTTCCATTCTTTTGAGAGGGACAGCTTTAGTTCAGAGCCTGGACAGCTGAGAAACCTACTCCAACGCCCTAGCCTTCCTGACCTGTGCTATCCTCAAAGCCTGTGTTAAAAAACAAACAAAACCTGAAGCACAGTCAATGCCTGAACATTTCATGGAATGAATACCAAATGCCTAGTCATGTTTATACGTATCTTTTCGTGTCGGTTCATAGTAGTTATGTAGTCAAATGGACAGAAACTGGCATTGAACACACCCTGTGTCCCTTTGTTGCTGCTTGTAGCAATAACTGCTAGTCAGAATTTGGGTAAAATTTGCCTGAGAGATATTAACAACACTTTATTGTTCTATCCTGCTTCTGTTCTCCCTGGCTGTATAGTTTTCTGTTTTATTATACTACAAAGCTGACCTCCAAGCTCTTGGAGGCACAAAGCCTAGAATAAACAGATGCATGCACGTACCCAGGCTTGCCCTCTCCTCACCATCCCAGTCTCTAAAATCCATGCAGAGCACTTTGCTTTGACAGTAAAGAGATAACCATCTCGGACAAGCTGATTGCAAAACAGATCTCATACTTGAGCTCAAGAAGCAATTATGCTTTGCCAGGTCATATTCAAATGCTATTTCCAATTTGCACCTGTCTTCAAAATAAGATCCAAGGCCCCTGAATTGTGAAAGGTTTACGAGGTTAAAAAAAAAATATGATGTCAGTCACTATTGAAATAGTTCCTCTATGTGGTCATCCAGACTGTTGGAGTAAACAACTACCATTTCTGTAACACAACAGCAACGGGATCCCCCCCCAGAGGAAAGCCAAGACACTAGCTGACATTCTAGAAGGTGCCTGTGCCAGGGCCTCAGCCTGCCAATAACCTCAGTTGTATTTCAGAACCTGACCGCCTCTCTGCAACGTTGCCAAGGAACCACAATAAACAATACTACCTAGAGGCCTCTGATCCCTCGGCTGATGAGCTTCTGCTAGAAGACACTGTTTACAATTAAGGGAGACGTTTTTTGCTTCCCATAACAATCCCTGGGTCAGCAACGGTGGATGCCCACTGAAAGACAGACAGCAGATGGGACCAGCAGGAAAACACAATCAGGACTCATAAGCTTTGGGTCTAAATAAAGCACTGTCTGCAATCTGAGGGTTAGATTAGGTGAGGTAGACACACAGACAGTATCTGTTTATTGAGAAAGAGGAAAAGAGAAAGAAGGCAGGCAAGGGGAGAAACACAAAGAGATGATGGCTTCTGGCACATCCCAGCTCCCGGAAACATAATTGGTATCCACTGAAGATGGAAAGAAATGCTGGTCCCACAAATTCTTTAAAATCCCACAAATGCCCTTCTGCCCTTAGCTAGCCCACTGACAACAGGAACACCTCAGTGATGAAGTGTGGCTCACACAACACTGAGCTAAAGCTGGAAATGGGTAACAATGAACAGAGAAAGGTAAAGCCCTGGAGACTGAGCTGGTGGGAAGTGAGGAGGCTGGGGGCTCCAGGCTGGCACTGCAGTAAAGGCTGTCATACCAGACGTCCGAGTAAGTGGTGAAGACTCCATCCTTGAGGGACTCGGGAGACATCCAGCGCACGGGCAACAGCCCTTTCCCTCCTTTCCGGTAATAGTCAGTCTCATAGATATCTCGCGTCATCCCAAAATCTGTAAGGGGAAGAGAGGGTGCAGAGTCACACGCTGGAGCAGGCACCACTACTGTCGCAGCAGAGGACCCTACACTCATTTTGTGTAGAGAGACACAAGGCAAGACACAGACACGTCCCACTTTAAGGCGGCCAAATAGTAGGGTTTGCAATTTTATAAGGTGGAGACAGTAAGGGATGATTAATCACATGACAAGCAAATACCAAGCAATCTCCACTTTTAACATATTTACAATCTGATTCCCTTAAGAAGTTAATTCCTTTATTGCATTTAAATGGGAGGCAGGCTGAGTGCAGTGACTCAACACCTGTAATCCCAGTACTTTGGGAGGCCACGGCAGGAAGACTGCTTGCGCCCAGGAATTCAAGATCAGCCTGGGCAACATAGCAAGACCCTGTCTGTATAAAAAAAATAAAAAATTAGCCACTTGTGAGTGATGGTGTGCACCTGTGTTCCAGCTACTTGGAAGGCTAAGGTGGAAGAATCACTTGAGCCCTGGAGGTCGAGGCTGCAGTGAGCCATGATCACAACACTGCACTCCAGCTTGGGTGACAGAGACCCTGTCTTGAAAATAAAAATTAAGAAAAACGGAGGCAGTGTAAAAATTAGAGTCCCACGATTTAAGAAAATATGTAGTACTGCAGAGACCAATGGTCATTTACACACAGTTTTAAAACTTGACCAAATAAACAGGAGAGTACAGATGCTTATTTGCTTGGTAGCACTGCCCCATCATTGGAGAAAAGTAAATAATTTCACTGCTTAATAAGGGGGAAAATATTCAGAGTAACAATTCATGATGACAAAAGTACCCAGTAAGATGCTGAAGAGATGCTATTTACGAGGCCCCTGAAGCTATTACTCAATATGTTTTTCAACATAATACTCCCACTCATTTTTGAAAATTTCTTCCATTTTCCATTTCTCCAGAAGATGCCACATAATGACGTTTGATGGCAGGCTCGCTTTATAATGCTAAATTATTGCTGCTTTGTCGGATTTTGATTTTGCACTCAATCATACAACCTTTTCTTAAGTGGACTCTTCCATTTCTCCTTCCCAGGAGAAAAGGCTTCTCTACTTTAAAATGCTCATATATGTCTCTAACTCATGCCACAAAGAGGTAAGGCTACAAAAGCAAACACAAAGAGAACAAAGTTCCTTGGACTTGAACCAACATAATTTACTTGCGCTATGCTAAGAGCCCTCAAACTGCCTCTGGTAAAATTACTTGTCATATTTGTCATCCATGAGATGCTGGGCATTGGGAAAACATCTTGAACCCTTGTGAAGAATAAAAATGAAGTGCGAAAGTGTTATCTGTGAATTAATCCAGTCACATGCAAATAGGGGATTTGCCTTTACTTGCGCAAAGTGGAAAAGGAATCCTACTAAAAAACACAAATGATCTTCCTCAGCACACGTGAAAAGCTTAAAATTCTAGAAAGAAAAACCATGATCACACACAAAAAAAACACTATAAATATGCCACATGGTTCAACAGCAAACATGATCCCTGCTGATTTGGATTTAAAATGGCAATTGGCACAAAAAACACCTCTCCCAGTGTGATGCACAGTGGAGAGAAACTGAGTTCCTCCCATGTGCCAGGAGGGTGGGAAGACGACACAGACAGGAACTGCCATCTGGAGAGGCCCTGCCCCGTGCCAGGCACATGCTGCTGCTTTCCTGTACCAAGTCCTCACAATCCCATGGGGTCTGTTACATTATCACCCTACTTCCGAGGTGAAGAAATTGAGGCTCCTGGGTTAAGGCACCTGGCCCAAGTCTCTCATCAATTAGTGACACAACTGGCCCACCTCAGGCCCACCTGGTTCCCCAGTCCCTGTGCTCTCCCCTGCACTGGGGAGCTGGCTGACATTTCCATGGGGACAATCTGAGTTCTACAGAGAGGGAAGGGGAAGGAGAAGGGGAAGAAGTGAGCTGGGTGCACGAAGGAAGCCCAGCCAGGGACGCAGGCAACTCTTCCCCGGGAGCCATGAGGCAGGACAGCCTCTCGGGACTCCTTTGCCTCTCTAAGGGCTGCCCAGCTTCACAGGGCACCAAACGTGAGGACACCACAACGTGCCAAACCTAGGGACGCACTGGTGGATCCTGAACAAGGAACTCTGATGACGGAGGGATGTGGGCTCTGGGACATGGCTCCGTTTCAATACCTCTAGCTCCTACAGAGGAAAAAGAGACACTCACTCCTACTTTAGAAACCATTCTCAGCCAGGCACGGTGGTTCACGCCTGTAATCACAGCACTTTGAGAGGCCGAGGCGGGTGGATCACCTGAGGTCAGGAGTTCAAGACCAGCCTGGCTAACATGATGAAACCCCGTTTTTACTAAAAATACAAAAAACTAGCTGGGTGTGGTGGCATGCACCTGTAATCCCAGCTCCTCAGGAGGCTGAGGCAGGAGAATCACTTGAACCTGGGAGGTGGAGGTTGTGGTGAGCCAAGATTGCGCCATTGCACTCCAGCTTGGGCAACAAGAGCAAAACTCCATCTCAAAAAAAGAAACCATTCTCTAAAAGATTCTCATTGTTCACTAAAGGGGCTAAAACATTTCATTTAAAAATTACTACTAAAAGAAAAAAATATGTTACTAAAGGAAGGCGAACACTTCCAGAAAAGGCAGCTCAAGAACTAGACACAGAGGTCCATTTGAAATAACTTCTTTTGGGTGTTAAATCTCCCCTGCAATTTCTCAGGATAAATATTTGGTATTTTTCTAAACTATCATCGTATCATAGTGGGAAGATGAGAATCCTGGTAAAAGTAGTGGTTTCCTGAGCAGCCCTGGTGTTATGTGTGTTTTATTAGGCAGATTAAAAGATCAAAGTAAAAACACAAACCTAAAGGCTGAAGTGGGTTTTAACCATTGCTCAGAAATTCAATTCAACCCCTTTTCTGGTGTGACAGTGGGTGATGGCAACAAGGGGGTCTAACCAGTAGGCTGGTCAGCTAAGAGCAGGTCAGTAAGTGTTGTGAGAGAGTGGTCGAGAGCTTGGAGGCTGTCCGGCCCCGGCTGTGAAACCCAGTGAGCAGTGATCGTCCCTCACCTAAGGCACTGCCATGCCAGCTCCTGCCACTTCTGCTCCGTGCAGAGGCTTCAACATTAGGGCAGCTCGCCTCTTAGAAAACAATGTGGACCCCTGGAAGGGGAGCAATGTTCCTTATAAGCTAGGAAAATTTGAGGGATGAATGCAAAGTTGGACAATGAGTTTTATTCCCAAGTCGAAATCTCCTGAAGACATTGTCTTGATTATTTCTGTAACCAATGCTAAGATGTGTTCTACCAAGAAATGCCTCAAATATCTGGAGAGGCAGCCTCAGGGACCATGCTCAGTAGCTGAACCACCATGTCCATGAGCAATCAGCACTGGGACTGACCACACCAGGTTTGTGACCATCAACTGGAGACAATCACATCATTCCCAAGAAAGAGTCCATGCACTCAAGGGACACACTAGAAAACCTCTCCAGGGGCAGACTAATGCCAAAAAGGTCCTCAAAACACCTGTGAGTTTAGTTCTTGCTCAGATCTGGAAAGCTAAGGACACACCTCCAATTTTGACTGTGAAATCCTCGGCTACCATGCAATTCCGGGCAGCAAGGTCTCTGTGGACGAACTTGTTGGCGTTGAGGTATGCCATGCCGTCTGCAATCTCTCCAGCCATCTGAATCATCTTGCTTAGGCTTGGAGGTGCTAGGACTGGATTATTCTGTTGGAGAATAAAAAAAATTCACATGAGAATTTTGGATTTTTTTTCTATGCCAATTTTCTTTCGAGGTTTGCAAATCATCTTTGTCCAATCTGGGCACCGTGGGTTGTTTATGCTAAGAAACCAGGACTTGCTCGGAAGGAACAAACCATCATGGAGAGCATGGCACCTGTTTGCTCCCGCAAGTTTATCTGCGCTTGCTCCCTGACCACATCACAGAGCTGCCGAGGGAAACACCAGTTTGCTCTCTCTAGGACCAGCATTTTCTATTGTGGGTAGGGCTAAAAAATTTTTTAAAGTGAAACAAGCAATATTTGGTAGTAAGGATTCTCAGTTACTCAAATTACTATTCGTTTATATGTTCCTTTTATTTCCATCACCAAAGTACAGATAAAAGGAAGGAGAGCACGTTACAAAGGCTGTGTGGAAGTAAGCAAATGTGTTTCCAAATGGATATGGTATATTTTGTTTCTCATAAAAGCATCATTATAACTTATTTAATCCTTTTCTTTCCCTTTAACCTTCTTCTAAAATACAAAAATACCAGATTACTCTTTTCACCTTAGAATGTGGCATTATTATTTTCTGTGGGCATTATGGAAGACAAGTCCTTGAAAACTGAAGTCCAGCTGGAGCTTATCTTGGAGGAGACCAGGAATAAGTAACATGGATAAGCATCTCCTGTTTGCAGAGGACAGCAACATGCTGGCTTTGGAATTAAAAAGAATTACCCCTAAATAATACATCCATTTAGAAAAAAGCTTTATATAAAACATATGCCCAAGTTTCTCCATCCTAAAACAATCACTATTCCCTAATTTTCATGCTACCTTTTACTCTCGCATATCCAAGTGCAATAGACTTTACCTTGGTTTTCTTGACTGCAAAGCATCTCACACAACACTGCAAAGCCACAGGGCTCTGATAGGTCTCAAACCTGTAGGCTGGCCACCGGATGAGCATGCCCAGGCTCTTCCACATGGGGTATCATGATGGTTTCACTGATTAGAAGATGACCTGGGGCCATGCACAGAAAGTGCCCAGTGGTGCCTGGCACATAGTCAATGCTCAGTAGATGCTGGCTGTTGCCCTACGAGGTGCTAGTTTCTACTGAAAGCTAGTATTTGGAATCAGTGTAACAACTCCTCAGTACTTCTGGGTTGGTTCTCTACACTCAGAGACACAAACCTTTGAATTTTGAACAGGCTGTCAAAGCTGTCTCTTGGTGACTGAAAATACTTATCACGTGGTTATCTGGGGAAGTGACATTAAGTCAGCGGGGGTAAGTCCAAATCACTACTTTTTAGGGCTTTAGATATGTGTGGTGCATTAGGAAATATGCATGTGAAACGTAAAGTTTATGCTCACAATACTTGAATATTACAACATGACGTATATGTGTTATGAAGTGGTCATTTATAATCGCTGTGAACAACAGAATCAATAAAAGCACTCAACTTTCAGCACAGAGAAAGAGAGAGGGCTGAAACTTTGTCAGTTTATGGGGTTGCACTGCCATTCTTTCATTCGTCTTAGCAGAAATCTTTAATTTGGTTAGAGTTATTTAAGGCAAGTATACACATACACGTACGCTTAGTGAGATAAATAAGTGAATCTTGGTCGGGGAAGCAGACTGAATATAATGAAACTGCAGGGTAAGCACACACATTTTAATACTTGACATGAGCTAGAAAAAAAAAATTTAAATCTGACCAATCTAAAGGTGAATTTTAGTTCTGAAAGGGACTTCAGTAATCTTGTCCCACCCTCTTATTTTATATTGAGGACACTGAGGCCCAGGAACCTGCAGTGGCTGGCTGAGGACCACAGGCAGCCAGCCACAGAGCCACGACCGAGGCCACATGTTCTGAATTTTTATTCTGTGCCTGAAACTGGGGAGGAAGGGAGTAAGTTTCGGACTTTTCAGAGGTGCCTCAAACGATGCTGGCAAGAAATACTCTGCCAAATCTCCAGTCACCTGTTTCATCAAGCTTTTCTCCTTCACGCTGTTTTGTGTATTAAAGTGAACCAAGGGTCAGGCACAGGGACTCACACCTATAATCCCAGCACTTTGGGAGGCTGAGGTGGGTGAATCACCTGAGGTCAGGAGTTCAAGACCAGCCTGGCCAACATGGTGAAACCCCGTCTCTACTAAAAATACAAAAATTAGCTGGGCGTGGTGGTGCACACCTGTAAACCCAGCTACTTGGGAGACCGAGGCAGGAGAATCGCTTGAACCTGGGTGGTGGAGGTTGCAGTGAGCTGAGATCACGCCACTGCACCCCAGCCTGGGCAACAGAGCAAAACTCCATCAAGAAAGGAAGACAGAAAGACAGAATGAAAGAAAGAAAAGAAAAGAAAGAAAAGAAAGAAAAAGAAAGAAAGAAAGAAGACAGACAGACAAAGAAAGAGAGCAAGAGAGACAGAGAGAAAGAGACAGAAAGTGAGTGAGTGAACCAGGAAGAGGCACTAACACCCAGGGGTGCTGGGGACCAATGCTTGGTGGAACAGAGGGTGGGAGTTTTGTAAACCACCCTGCTTGGAGCCCCAGTCCACACTTGGCCCCAAACACAATGTGCTGTAAATAAATGAAGTCATACATGAACAGGTGTTTGGAACTAAAATTAAGAAACTGTCACTTGGAAGATGATTAAGTTGCCGATTCAAAGAATATTAAAAAAAAAAAAAAAAAAAAAGCCCAAATGAAGAACGGCAAAAGAACTTCCAAAGGGGCCGAGAAGGGGAAGTTACTGCTTCTAAGGAATAAAAGCAGACATAATGCTTCCCCGTAAGTAGCAAAGTAAGGGTCAAAAGGAAGACTTCAGACCCACAGAGGCAGCCAAATGAAAACACAGTTGTTGCTGGCTTTATTTCTCAGCATTTATCTCCCAGCTTAACTGTAGAATTAATTACTCAAAAGTCATGCCTGCATACGTTAAAAAGCTGGCCTGTGGGTTAATGCTACAGAGGGGGGAGATACCACGGTGACTAATGAAAAATTGCATAGGACTTCAGCAGGTTTAGAATTTGAAGCTCATAATCCAAAGTGAAATTTTTAGGAAACTAAGCAGAAATCCTGCCACTGAGGTGGGATCATTCATTCAAAAGTGCAAGCAAGACATTGACCCTGGATCAATCCTGAAACGTGGACGTAGAGTCTGAGGAAACCAGATTCCCACTGGCAAAGACAAGGACCACCAACAATGCCGAGCAAGGGGGCTGTGTGTGGGAAGTGGGTTTATGAATGGGTGAACATCTTGTGCACAGAGCTGGGTGGGAAATCACCCAGCAACTTCTCAGATGCAAGGGCAAGAATCCAGGCAGCTTAACCTTGAACTGTAACACACATTTATTGACAGAGTGCCTGCCACAAATGCGGCCCCGAGCCACGCGTTTGGACTGACATTAAAAGCTAAACACAATGGGGTGGAAGGGGGGACACACTCCCACAACAACACAACACAACACAACGAGAGAGAATGCATGCAAGGACATGAGTCAAGCGCGTCGAGAAGTTAGCAGAGGAGATGGTTACTGGAGTGGGGCAGGAAAACTTCGGGGAAAGAGTGGCACTGGCCTGGCTTGAGAGATGGACACTGATGTGGGGAAGGGACTGGGGGCAGAGGGAATGCAGGAACAAAGGCACAGAGGGGCTTAGCAGAGGGGATCCAAGGAACAGGAAGTTCCCCTCACAAAGATCAGAGTCTGACTCTAGTTGGGGAAATCCTTTGCACAAATGACCTATAACCGAGCATGCAGTAAGAAACACTGGACGCTGGAAGAGTAAACTGATTTAAAGACACAGCATTTCCTTGCAGAGAGGTTCTAAAGGAAAGGCAACATGTAATACTGGTGGAAATGAAAACTGACCTCCATTTCTGGCCTCAGAGACCGGAGATAACTTTTGAGATCGCCCCGCGTCATTAGTTCCATGATGACCAGCGTTGGCTGGCCCTGGGACACCACACCCAGCAACCGCACCTGGGAGGAATCAAAAAGAGAAAGACTCAGAGGGTCAGGGTGGCCCTTGCTGGTGCCTGTGTTGTCTGGAACTGTCTCTGTGGTGCTGTGGCCTGGTCTGAGCATAGGGGTCGGAAGGTAACAGTGAGGTAATGGGGTAACTATCCAAAAGGCAAAGGCAAGACACCAAACCCACGGGTATATGTAGCCAAGAACACACTGAGGGGCTTGTGTGATACCCTCTTCCTGTGCAGCATTTTGGCTTTTCAGGAACTTTCTCTTACCACATGGTGACAATTGAACTCCTTCATCACAGAAGCCTCGTTGAGAAACTCGATCCTTTCACGCATGCTCGCGGCCTCGTTCACTGTTTTAATGGCCACTCTGGTTTCAGGTTCGTCTTTCACCACACCCTTGGCAACTCCTTCATAGACCATCCCAAACGACCCCTGCCCAAGTTCCCGGCTCATGGTGATCTTCTCCCGAGCCACCTCCCACTCATCAGGAACGTACACTGGAGAAGAAACCGTAATTAAAGCAGGTACAGAAACAAGCCCTTAGACAGAACGTGCTTTGGGGGAACTCTAAGCCAAAGAATGTGAAATGCTGCTTCCTTAAACCCACAAAGGAGAATACCAGGAAGCGATGGCATGGCTTGCTCTCAACTTTCCACATGCTATCGATTTGAGTAAGAAAACTGTACAGTCAGTACTAGTATTTCAAATCTCTGAGGATTTCAAGATACTCTGAGGATACTAACAGATATAAGGACCAGAACAAAGCAAAGAAGCCTAGTATAGGAAAGAAAGCAGTTGTTTTTTTAGATTTCATCATATAAAAATACATTTTTGAAAAAAACAAATCAACCATACGGGATAGAGAAACTGAATGAAATGGTCAAGCAGGATTGTACCCATCTTCACCAACAGATTAAAATGCAAATGTGAAAAGGAGGAGAGCAGGAGCGAGAGGGAAGAGTTCTTATGCTGGGTTGGGTAAAAGGTCAGAGTCGCATGTGAGAGGTGATGATGGTGCGTGTGAGGTCTTATTTCCTGGATGAATCCAAAAGGGGTGTCAGGGCCCTCAACACAGATGCTATGCCTGGGCTATCTAACACGGTAGCTGGTCCCTACATGGGACTCCTGAGCACTCCATGTGGCTAGTCCAATTTGAGACATGCTGTAAGTGTAAATAAAATACACATGGGATTTCAAAGACCAGTCAAAAAAAAAAAAAAAGTATTTAGATAACTTTAATACTGACTGTATGTTAAAATGGATATTTTGGCTATAATGGGTTAAATAAAACATATTATTTGAACTAAAAACATTATTAAAATGCATTTGATCTGTTTCTTTTTACTTTTAAAAAATACGGCTACTAGAAAATTTGCAGTTACAAAGGTGAATTGCATTATTGGTAGGTTACTCTAATCAAAGTGTCCCCAGCCTTGGCTTTGATGGCTGGATCCCTGATGAGGTGCAGAAGCAACTGAGCTCTGAGACTGAGGGAGAGACTTGGTGGTGCCCAGTGTGGAGAGGCAATTAGGCAGCTGATGAGCAGAGGCGTTTCCAGGGCTCTGTGAACTCAGGAGGACCTTCGCCAACGGAGGAATGCACAGTAAATACCAAGCCTGAATAGGATTTCTTCTCCAGTTTCTGTTTAGATTCGATCTGGTTTAAGAAAATAAATAGGCCGTGTGCAGTGGCTCACGCCTGTAATCGCAGGCCAAGATGGGAGGATTGCTTGAGCCCAGGAATCTGAGATCAGCCTGGGCAACATGGCAAAACACCATCTCTATTAAAAAATTAGCCAGGTGTGGTGGCACACACCTGGAATCCCAGCTACTCAGGGGGCTGAGGCAGGAGAACTGCCTGAGCCCAGGAGGTTGAGGCTACAGTGAGCTGAGATCACACCACTGCACTCCAGCCTGGGCAACAGAGTGAGAACCTGTCTCAAAAAAACGAATGAATGAATAAACAAATATTTTTAGGCAGGAAGGAAGGCAAAACAAACAGAAAAAAAGAAAAAAGATCGGAAAGAAAACAAAACCAGAGGTTTAATTCTACATCTCCAAATGGGTAGGGTAAAAATGAAAATAAAATCAACCTATTCCATAAGATCCATACGAAATGTCAATAATTCCTCTGATGCTGTGTGCTAATGTCCTTGCCTGACGGGACCTGCCACCAGGCTCTACCACACACCGACTGTGGAAAGGAAGTGGTCCTGGCTCAGAAAGGAAGTGGAGATGGTGCCTGTTTTTGCTTTGATGCTTTCAGATGCTGACCCTGCGCCTGTGGCTGGATGTGAGAGGCTGACAACTGTATCCCAACATCTCCATATCCCAACTATCGACCCTTAAGTGATGTCTAAAAGGACAGATGTTTATTATAAATTAGGCCCAGGAGGGGCACCATCAATTTAGACCTCTGAGGGGTGTCCGATATGAACTTTATTAATCATCTTCAATTTTCTTTCCTATACATTTTTATACTTTACAGTACATATGTCTCAAGGGTTTCACGAATGGAACTCTGCCCTCCAGCTGGCATAGGTGGCTTGCACCCCTGAAGAAGAGGCGGGTGCTTGTCAGAGGACAGTAAGTATGCAAAATAACCCAGGAGATAAGGCTCTTCACAATGCCCCTCAGAAAGTGTAAAGAGTTCATTGTCTCCAGCCATTTATCTCTGAGAATCCAGGCTTGCTTTTAATCAGAATTAACTATTTAGCCTGCCATAAAACATGGAGTTAAAACCAATCACATTCATTCCCTGGGAGATCTCTGAAGTCAATACCCTCAATCCTTTTCTCTACATTCAACCCAGCAGCTCTGACTTTAAGCAGCAGTCCCCAGCGCCACCAGCCAGGAGTGGTTTCTGTGCTCAATGTTATCAGCACTTTCCTGTAGGGAATTTTCAATGTACTCTGGAGAATGGTGACATGCAGATTAGCTTTGGGAAAAGCAAGTTTTTAAAGCACTTTTGAACTGCAAAGTCATTTTGTTGCCCCTTGAGGATACTGGCTATAAGGTGCTTGTCAAAGGCCGAATAAATTAAGTTCAAATAAGGTGACACTGTTCCCACCTGTCGGCATGGGTGGCAATAAGTTTGTTTTTGTTTTAATGAAGTACCACGACATATCATGAAAGCATTCTAGAAGGACACAAAATGTGAATTAAAGTGACCATGAGAATCTGATTTTGTTGTATTGATGCTTTCTTTCTCTTCCTGGACACTTCATAGTCAAAAACTACACACACCAACCTCTAGTGCTGTATTTCAAAGCAGAATAGCTTCTCTGGTATGGTCACAGTCCACCCTCACAGAGGGGAAAGTGGTCTTGCCTTGTTCCTATCAATTCCATTATCTGGGATGACTCCCTTCCTGTTCTTTTCTTTTTTAGAAGCTATTATTTATACAAACAATGCATATCTATCTTCTTGATGGATTTTGATTTTTAAGAGCCAGTCTCGCTCTATAGTCTAGGCTGTAGTGCAGTGGTGAGATTCTAGCTCACTGCAGCCCTTGGGCTCAGGTAATCCTCTCATCCCAGTCTCCTGAGTAGCCGGGACTACAGGTGCATGCAACCACATCTGGCTTTTTTTTTTTTTTTAAAAGGGAAAGATCCTCTCCACAAGTAACAACTCTTTTAAGTGTGGTGTGCATCCGTCCAGAATGTTCTTTCTGCCTTACATACACATACAGATGTATGCATGTATATACTACTATTAAGAAAACAACTTTGTGAGATCTTTAGGTAGACAGAAATAATGTCCTTATTATTCTGCACCTGATTCCCATTCAGAGGAGGCTGCTTTTGATTGAATTTACCATAAACTGAATTAGAAATGATTAAAGAAACCATAGTAAAACCCTACACAGTATAACGGTGTTTTCACATTATCAAAGCATTTTCTTATGTTTTCTCATTTGACCACAATAATTACAACAATCATGCCTCTTTATTTCACAGCTCCTGCATCTACTTTCACTTCTCCCGAGGCAAGAAGGCAGCAAACACTTTCCTCTAAACATACTCACTCAACATCATGCACTTATTTATTCATTTGATGAATCCGGTCCAGCCCCTCCTGCGGGCCAGTTCCTTGCCTGCCTCACAGCCCTTTCCTCAGTGATTCCATTCTCCTCCTGACTTCTCAACTGTCTAGCTATGTGACCCTGCACAAGTTTCTTTGGGAGCTCATTTCTTCACCTGCAGATGGGCATTAAGAAAACCCACTTTGCAGGGGTTTAAGAAACAAATGGGATGGTGTTTGTAAAAGCCCTTAGCAAAGTGCCAGTTAAGGGTCCTAGTATCACTGGACTCAATGACCAACCTCTCACTCTAATCCAACTCACTCAAAAGGTCTGGATATAAAAATACTAGAAAGAACAGAGCAAAAAAGGAAACAACCATTGAGGATCACCCAACTTCCATGTCAGACCTTCCCAGCCGCTTAACTGAATGGCCCTCATTAGTTATTACCAAAGGGAATGTGAATGAGCCATGAGCGTATAACCCTAGTCGAAGGGAATGACAGAAAAATTCCATGACTAAAAAAAAAGCAGAGCTGTAATTCATCAAAGACAATTATAATGAGATGATACTCAAGCTGAAACTAGTTTAAAAGGACTGTTTTGTCAGCTGCAGCACATCCTCTGACTAGATGTTAACAATTAAAAAGCTGTTTTCATTCTAGCATAACATCTCAAGCAATTAAATAAATTGATTACTGTGCTGGCCACATTCATCTCTAAAGCCTGTGTTTCCTTGGGGCACCCCATACAGTTCACAAGTTTTGACATATTCACTGAACTGCTAAAAACTTTGATTTAAAAAAAAAAAGAAATATGAATGAAGACAGGTCCAAGGCCAAAGGTAGCTGAAAATAATGCAAACCTCCTTCCTTTCCCGAATAAGCAACCCTCCTGGAAGCTCCCGATCTACCTCCCCTGCACGTGAGCAGTGCCGGTGGCCCGGACTCTTACCATCCGCAGCGCTGAAGTACTCCGGGTTCACAGACGCGTACAGCACTCCATTCCCCAGCCTGCTGTTATTTCTGTCAAAAATATGAAACTTACGTTAACAAAACCCCACCTCCATACATTTCTGTATATACTTTCATCTTTGCTACAACAGTTTCATTTGTTCTGTCTCACACAGTATCAGCAGAAGAGAATGGGGAGAGCTTACTGTTTACAGCAGCTCTTGCCTACACTCCCAATTCAGGCCTGGGTGGGCCAGCAGACATTTGCCAACACATCTTCTGGCTTCCTCAGTAGCCTGAAATTAGAGCTTTTTAAGAAACATCTGTTTCTTTACTTCATTGGAAATAAAAAGGCTTATTTGATTGGGAGGGCTAGTGCATCACGTTTGGAAAAGCATGCACCAGCAGCAGTTCTGTGTACCAGAGAAGCCAGCCAGGGGAAGGTCTGTACTATCGAAAAATTATTTTGACTGTTGTTAAAATCATTAGAAAAGGTTCTCTTTTCCTGGAAGAACACTTGATGGGAAAATCAGGTTTTCCAGTCCATAAAATATTTCCTTGAAATCTTCAAAAAGATTACCTTCACTCACATTCAAATCATCAAACCACTTAGCCACAGAAAGTGTCATAACTTTGCACATCACTGACCTCTTTCTATGGAAGACGTACAGCATAATCACCAACCCTCCCACGATCAACAGGACAGCGACGGGCAAAGCGATGATCAGATGGATGAAGTTTTCATATCCTGCTGCAGCAAAGAAGAGGAAATGATAAATATCACCAGGTGAAGAATCTGCTCATTTCATTTTCTCACATTCAGTCAGAAGTATGAAAAAAATACCTGTATATTCATTTATTCCCCACCATACAGTAAGAATTCCTGAAGGTAAATGGTGTCAGAAATAGAACATGGCAAACAATTATTTGAAAAAAAGAGTAAATATGTGCAGACTGAGGCATAAACTCCTTTTTTAAAGTATAGTATATTCTGGCATAATAGTTTCCATGATAGACTGAAGAAAATCTTTGCATGCAGTTTAATGACTGTTAGTGAAAATGCATACATTTGACACTAATTTCCCACATCCCACAGAATGTTCCAGGGTTTGGTCCATGTCCCTTGTACCCAGCCTAGCATTTGCCATACCCGTGTTGGTTCTGGTGGTAAGGGGTCTCTGTGATCTCACACCTGTAAAACGACTCAAATACTTGCAGCAGCAAGTATTCTATTTCTAATAAACAGAATGAAAATTTCTATTCATTTTTATAAAATGAACAGAAATTCTTACATCTATGTATAGACCAAGTCCTGCCAGCCTTAATCTTTGAGATAGTTCCATAGACAATTTAAAGTAAACACACACACACATTCACGCACTGGATGGCACCCCTTTCCAATGCTGCTGCAAACATTTGAGTCCTGTTACAAGTCTAAGACCACAGAGACCACTGATCATCAGAACCAGCACTTGTATGGCAGATGCCTGGTTAGGCAGCAGGGACATGGACCCACACCCTGAAACATTCTGTGGGACATGGGAAATCAGTGTCAACAGGTAGCATGACAACTAGAAAAGTGGACTTCGCATATGGCAAGGATTCAGAGAGGAAAGGAGAGGAGAGAAGGGAGTCAAGGGAACCTCCCTAAGGGAAAACTTCTTTATGATATGCTTTTCTTGGGGGTTGTGGGGAAATGGCTTTCCTAGAAAATGATGATACTGGAGAGATGTCAGGGCCAGCTCACAAGGGATCCTGTCCAAGCTAAGTAGTTTCAACCTCATTCTGCAGATTAAAAGGAGTCAGCGAAAGCTTTCAGGCCCAGCAGTGAACTGATAAGATTCGAGTTCCAGGGAAATGGCTGTGCTGAGGACAGACTGAGGGATCTGGCAGTAAGAGAAGGCACTGTCATGTCTTAGAGAATTGGGGGTACAAGCCATGTCTCCTGGGCTTGCTCTGCATTACTCAGTTCAGACCTACAAAGAAGTCACCAATCCTTGTCTATACACCAGGCAGACTCACAGAGATGCTCTGGCTTGGTAAGTCATGGCCCCAGGAAGAGGCTCATACAATATGATAGCTCATACCATCCCCCCAGGGCGAGTGACCTGGAGTCTGAGCTGTGGTGGTGCTGGTGGTGATAGATGGCTGGATTCCAGAGACATTTAACAGGCAGAATCCATGAGGTTTGGGTTGGAATGAAAAAGGGGTGGCTGGAGAGAAGAGAAGAGTGAGGGATGCTGTGAGGTTCCTGGCTTGGGTAATGAATGGATTACAAGGCCACTGACTGAGCTAAGCAGCAAAGGAGAGAAGAGGCCTTTTGAGGGCAACAACTGTGATTTTGGTTTTGACACAACGAATCTGAGACCTGTCTGAGACATCCAAGCACAGATGTCTATGCGGAAATGGGCTTGGAATCACTGGGGATCAAGTTAACATTAATCATAAGTTCCCTATCATGATTATTTTGCCATTAAAAACTGTGATCATGGTTACTCTTTAAAGACTAAAGCTGTTTTAATTTTTAAAATTAGAAGTATTTTGATCAAAGAAAAAAGATATTTTTATTGATATTGTATCTCTTAAAATGGATGCAGTCTCCGGCATTTTATAATTCCTCAAAAGACTCACAGGTGATCATTACCAAGGGGAAGCTGGCAGATTTTTCTTTCTTCCCCACTGAGGCCTGCTGTTTATATCACTTATACTACTGGTCAGGCTGTACTGTGTTCTTTTTGAGTTTCACATTTCAACAGGGACATGGAGAAACTGGAACACATCCAGAGAAGAACAAAATGATTAAATGGCTGGGAAATTGGTGTATGATATTGGGCTACAAGAAAAGGCCAAAAGACCTGAGATTATTTCATCTGGAAAAGAGAAGTCTGAGGAATAATTTAATAGTATTCAGGCACACAAGGAGTTCCTAAAAGGAAGGCAGTTGCCTGAAAGCTTCCAAACCTTCCATATCCTCTGAGGATTAAATAAGAGGAAATGAGACTAAACTGTAGTAGGACAGAGTCTTGTCTGACATAAGGAAAAATTTCTCAACAGTAAGGCCAGCACGTAGATTCAATTTCCCTGCAGTATGTGATAATATCTGCTGGAAAAATTTCATCAGAAGGACTCCTGATTTCCCACTGGCATCCTGGCACTTACAAGGTTAAAAATGGAGCAGCACAGGCAGACAGGAACATGTCATGTCACCAAAACAAGCTGAGTTCACTCAACCCCAGAAGCCAAGGTTGCTGTTTCACAGATCACAGACCCCCAAACTAGGTAGGCTCTGTTTCTAGGAGATGGAAGGGAGGAAAAAGAGGAGGGAAGGAGGCTGGGGAGAGAAAGCAAGCAAGCCACTACTCTGGACAAGGTTGCATGAATATTGTGAAGGTTCTAGGCGCTGCAAAGGTGGCACAGACTAACTGGTGAGACTATGTTAACTGGACTAGATGGGAGAATTCTATTTTAATTGACAAAACTATCTGCCTAAACATCCATTTACCTCTAAAAACCCGAACCCAGGAACAGTGCCAGGCACATAAAATGTTGGCTCAAGATTTGCAGTTCTATTCACCCCCATCCTGCTTTTGCTGTATTAGGATTTTCAGGTATCACAAACAGATTAGAATATTGGGTGCTGACCAGGTGACTACTGGAGACCTTCTTTTGTTTTTTTTTAAAAATTAATTAATTTTAATATACAAATAAAAATTGTACATATTTATCATGTACAACATATTGTTTTGAAATATGTATACACTGTAGAACGGCTGAATTAAACTAATGAACATATGTATTACAACATATTTTTTATGTGTGTTTGGTGAGAACACTTAAAATTTATTGTCTCAGCAATTTTTAAGAATACATCATTATTACTGTCATCATGCTGTACAATAGATCTACTGAACTTATTCTTCCTAACTGAAATTTTGTATCCTTTGACTAACATCTTCCCAAATCTGCTCCCTCACCCTCAGTCCTGGTAACCTCCATTCTACTCTCCATGAGCTTAACTTTTTAAATTCCACATTATCAGTAAGATCATGTGGTATTTGTCTTTCTGTGTCTGGCTTATTTAACTTAACATCATGTCCTCCAGGTTCAGCCAGGTTGCCACAAATGGCATTTTTTTTTTCTAATTTATGGTAGAATAGTATTCTATAATGTGTATGTGCCAGGTTTTCTTTACCCATTCATGTACATAGCGATGGACATTAGGTGGATTCCATGTCTTGGCCATTGCGAAGTGTTGCAGTGAACACGGGAGTGCAGAGAGCTCTTTGACATACCGATTTCATTGCCTTTGGAAATATACTAGAAGTGAGATTGCTAGACCTGTTGAGTGCGTGTTTTTTTTTTCCTTTTCTTTTTTTTAGACGGAGTCCTGCCCTGTTGCCCAGGCTGGAGTACAGTGGCATGATCTCGGCTTACTGCAACCTCAGCCTCCTGGGTTCAAGAGATTCTCCTGCCTCAGCCTCCCAAGTAGCTGGGATTACAGGCTTGTACCACCGCCCCCAACTAATTTTTGTATTTTCAGTAGAGACGGGGTTTCACTATGTTGGCCAGGCTAGTCTCAAACTCCTGACCTCAAGTGATCTGCCCGCCTTGGCCTCCTGAAGTGCTGGGATTACAGGCGTGAGCCACTGCACCGGGCCAAGTGCATGTTTTAACGTAACTCCAGATCTGCATAGCAGAAATGTGGACACCGGGAAAGATCAGCCCACTAGACCCAAAAGTGTTACCACTAAGCAAGGCTGCATTGCTATTTTATGTGTTATGCCAAATTTGATTCCATTCCATGAACATAAAATAATCTTAAAAACTGGGTTTCTAATAAGAAATAACAGAAACTCAACACAGAAATAATTTCACCAAAATACTAAATTTTGTTGGTCAAACAACAAATATGTGGCTCTTGTTGTACTTATATATCTTATAATTTGTTTTAAAATCTGAAGTCATCACACAGAACAGCCTAAGAATTCTCTTGTTAATGACTTGAGCATAAACTCATATTCCTCAGTCTCTGCACCAAAGGGTGAGCACCGTACATTTCCAAGGCATATGGGGGCTTTAAAAGGGCACTGGAGGGTCTGGGATGCTACCATGGAAATTCCTGCCCTGTAGCAGGCTGAACCAGATGACCTCTGGAGTTCCTTTCACCCCTTAGGACTTCAAGCCCTGAATCTGAGCCCCATCTAGTTTTACTGACCAAGTAGGAGGTGGAATGGTCAATTCAATGCTTTATAAAATGTCTTTTATAAAAAAAAAAAAAAAAAGAAAGAAAGAAAGAAAGAAAGAAAGAAAAAGAAAGGTCTTTGAATATAAGCCAGGTTGAAAGCAACAGTCTCCTCTGGCTCTCCATTGGTTGCACCACCTCAAAAGAGAGGCTCAGTTCCTCTCCCTTCCTGCCACATGAGGTAGGGGCCCAAAGCTCAGCATCCGCCCGGCACAAGCTTTCACACAAAGTGCTGGTATGTGCCGGCACCTTAGCATGACCCTTCTGAAAGCTGGCCAACTCTATTTTAACAGAAAATAAGAGGGCCATAAACACTCAGGCTGTCCTAATCCTGGACCACCCTGCTTTCAGTTTTACACATTTCTTCTCCCTCCACAAGCCTTACTTTTGGCCTGGACATAGAAGAACACAGGATCTGTCCACGACCCATTCCCAGAGAGAGATGTAGCCTGAATCCGGGCTGTGTAGTTCCCCGGGTTTAGCCGGTTTAGCTTGGCCCCTCCATACTTCCTGTATTCCTGTCTGGACACACATTCTCGCTGATCCTGGGGAAATAAAACATACGTGTCAATTTCCCATGAAGGCAGGAGAAATCTGGGGCCTGCCAACTAAACTCACCACACTGGGGACTCCAGCTGCCTGATATGACCTCCCACCTAACAATGATCCCGAGTGTCAGTAAAGAGAAAGAAATCAAATCTTAAAAGGTCGTCTTCAGGTAGCTTTAAGTACACCCAAAAGCTTTAACCAAACATTTTTGTAACCAAGAACTCCAGAAGGATTAAAAGTTATTAGAACTGATCTGGCCTATGCCACAAGGTTATCTTAAATAATGAAATCATTTCTTGAAGGCAAAAAGCAGCCTATCTCTTTGCCCTCTACGGAGTACTCCTTAGAGAGTATGGAGTGGGTAGAAAGACCCAAATCCTCACCAGCTTGGCACGTATTTTATTGTTGTAACTCCTACGCTAACCAGGAGGTATCCTGCACAGTCAGGTAGCATATGTTGTCAATGGATGGAAATACATACATGCAGGCACAGGCCACGGCCCCAGTCCTACCTCAACTTGTGATCCGTATTTTATTTCATACATTAGAATCAATCCATTGGGATTCTCAGGTTCTGGCCACTTTAAAAAGATGGAGTTTTCAGGCCTTGGCTCCCAGGTCACTGGCCCAGGAATGTCATCTGCTCCTTCTGTACAATTTAAACAAGTGACAAAGTTGGATTTGGGTTCCCAGGGAGGGAGGCCAACACTGGGCTGACCTGAGAATAACCCCCCAATCCACGCGGGCAGGACTATGGAGATCAGCCACGTACACTGCCCCTGAGCAGGCTGCTCACACACAGCGGAGGATTCAGAATCACACCAACCCCACAACTTGCACGTCTCAAGATGCCACAAGATCCTCCTTTCTCCCCAGTCCTTCAACAAAAAAAGCCTGCTGCCAAGCAGCAGGAAAATCTTGGCAACCTAAGTAACTTTCTTCTCTTCTGTGCCTACCGCTTGAAAAAAGAAAGCTTTGTGAAGCCATCAAACACAAGCAGCCCTGAAAAGATGCTGAATAAGCAGAAGCAGGGCGCGGGGTCTGCCGCCTGTGACAGGGACCTTCCGTGGCCCACGGCTACACACGGCAACTGCAATTTTTACACAGGCACAAAGGATGGCCCCAAGCCCAGCCTGTGAGGAAGCTGCTGGGAGGCTGGTGCTGAGAGCAGGGCAAGCTCTCCCTGCTGGCATCAACTCCTCCAGCGGCTGATTGACCTTGTGGTGGTTCCTTTCTTGCTTTTGCTTCTTGAAGCAGTGAATAAAGTGGTGATGAGCAAAGGTCACGGAAAGTTACAGCTGCAAAAGACACCTGACGGGTCAGTTGGCTATGTCTCTCCTGGGAGGGCTAAGGAAACTGAGGCAGGGAGCCTGACGATTGCCTCAAGGCATGCTACAATGGACTTCAGTGCCAGAACTGCACGGAGGAGGACCCCAAGCCCCAGACTCCTATCACCTCCATGCTCTTTCTACTGCCTGAGGCTTCCTAAAGAACAGGGCAGTTCTTGTTGTCTTTGAAGGCACCCACCTTCAAAGACAGATGAATGCCCGAGTGACAAGCGGTGTCTAACAACAAGGGAAAGCCAAAGGCTAAATAAGCAAGACCAGAGGCTACTCCAGGAGTTGATCTTGAGTACAGTGGTTACTCTGGATCAAGGCAATTAACTGGAGACATCTCTGAATATGTCAGAGCTCGGGGCGGGGCAACCCGATTTGTGCACAAGAGGGGCAAAAGACAGTGGGAGTGCACGATGTGCACCAAGTAGCAGGTGGAGGGCGGACCATGCAGACAGCTCCCTGCTCCCAGCATGTTCCATGGAGAGACCAGGCTGGGAGTGGTGTCACTAGGAGAGCATGAGCTCTATTCCCTAGGCAGCTGGTCTACTACGCCACTTGCCAATGATCGCATGTTATTTAGCAGGCAGACCTGAGTCTAAGGGTTGTGGCCCTGGGTGTCAGACCCTTTGTCCATAAAACACATCTTCTCCACTAGGTTGTGAGGAAGGTGGCAATGGGGCCACCTGGATATACCGTACCTGCAGGCATAGTCCTTGCAAAGACAAAGTTGGAGGCGCTGCAGCCCAGTTTCTCAGCCTCGTGGTTGCAGCTGTGGATATCAATGCGGTACAATGTGAAAGGCCGAAGGTTAGAAATGACAGTTCTCTCCTTATTATCCACTCTGCTCTCAAAGAAAGGGTACTCTGTCTCTAGCTCTTCCAGATCTGTGATGTTGTAGGTGTCTGCCGCCGTGGTGTTCCTGCTTCGGCTGGACATGGTGGTGTTGGCCACTTGCATGACATCTCTCCGCTTCCTTTCCGGTCTGCAAGGAAGAGATAAATGTGGCTTTTAAGTGCTTTTTACCTCTTTCGTCTTTTCTATGACTTGAGTAAGAGTAACAGAAGAATCTTAACCATGGAATAGAAGGAGCTATTCAGCCCCCTTGGATAAGAACGCATGAATAACACGGGGATCTCCTTCCTCATTATCTTGCTTTCTCTACTATGCAAGTGTCAGAATGGGCACACAAACTCTCACCCCCAACCCCTGGCTCTCAGAGTGGTTCTTCGATTTTACCTAGAGGCAAAGTGTCTCTGCCATTCTTGGCCAGGCAGTCCTGGCTGTGCCATCAGAACACTCAAGCCATGTGGTCACAGACCTTACGGTTAAGCATTAAAGGTGGCAAACCTACCAGCTGTGCTAAGATTTATTAGGGCAGGAGGGGAGAGGTGAGGTGTGTGGCAGAGGCCCCAGAGACCTGGGGCAGAGGGATATGAAAGCCTATGGTGGTGGCTCCTTGGATCTGCTCTGACTGTGGAAATAAAGATGCCTGGAGCCTGGCAACAAGCAGCTCCACGGACCTCAGGTCTCTTCTTGGGGGCTTCTGCTGCAGGCCCACCCCCAACCCCAAGCATCTGTGCTTGCTACACTCTGCAGGTCCCTGAAGCCCACCCAGGCCTCCTCCCAACTCAGCAGTGAGCACCTGTGGCCTCACCAAGGTCCTGCCCACGAGAGGGCAGAGTCTTTGTCATGGATTTGAATGGGGATTGGAACAGCCAAAAAGCAAAAGGGAGTGCATAAAGTCATCACAAAAAGGACATTCACACCGAAAAGGGCAGATGAGGCATGAGGGTGTGACCCTCTAATTGCTGCTTTGGTCAAATAAAAAAATGGGCTTTGTGGCTCCCCCTAGAAACCTTAAAACAGAATCCTAATGTTTACAGGAACCAACAAAAACAAACAGAATACGAGAGGAGCACCCAGATGGAGAAAGGGCAACCCTCAGGTCAGCCACGGACCAATGGTGAGAAAACAGGGCTGAGGCCTTTGGCTGGGGTCACTGGTCTTAGGAATAGGCAAAAGGCAGGGAGTAAATGGGATGAATTCCATCTGCCCAGGGAAATGAGAAACTCCAGAACATGGGAAGCTCATCAGTGCCATGGAGGGGAGAGAGCGGCAGCAGCAGCAGAGAGGGAAAGCTCACACAGGGAACGGAGCAGCCCAGAAGCCACTTGCAGGTTTGGCTGACGCTCCGCAGGTTTCTGGCTGGTCCTTAGGCCAGAACCTGGGAAGGGGAGAGCAGGGGGCTTGGGGAAAGGGCCTCTGGCTCCCTAGTCTTCTCAGCCCATGGATTCCCCTGAGGAAAACATGGTCCTTCTTTGTGTAGTGGTACATGGGGGTCCCACCAAAGGCATAAACTGCCCAACACAGATAGGCTCATTCCAACAAGCAAAAAACCACAAGGTCAGGGCATGTACATTTGCTTTCACAATACTGGGGGAGGAAGGGTAAGGACATGAGGCTGATTACCCACAATCCTCACACTCTGCAAACCAACCAACCAGCTAACCAAGCTTCCTGGAAGGGAAAAACACAAGAAACCACATTTACTGCCACGGAAATCTTTGTCAACACATCAACAAATTTCCAGCCCTTCCTTCAACACCAACACAATATACACTTGTGTCTGTCAGAAGTTGCTTAGGTTTGATGCATTGCAAAATAATTCTGTGTCAAAACCCCTCTCCTAGCCCAGCCCACCACGTTTAACCGGGATTACATCATTAAGTATACTCAGTAGTTTATTTGTTTATCAACATCACACTTTTAGGGATTGCACAGCTCTCAATGCTGATGACATCAAGGCAGTGACAAGGGGAGGGAGGTGACACAGAACATTATCTGGAAGGCAGGAACAGGGGAAGCACAATGGCCCATACATCATTTTTTGGTAAACAACTACATTTCCAAATCGTGTGCCCAACAGCAAACATTACTGCCAACTTTCCCCGCTCCGTCCCATGATACAACCTAGCCCTATTGGAAAACCTTTTACTTTCCAACATCTGTCAACATTTTAGCTAGTTAAACCAAACTATGTGATGTACAAAATAAAGACAGTAGTCAAAGAAAGGCATTTACTGCCAAATACTGACTTCAGAAACTAGTTTTACAAACTCTAGCTTCCACTCTACTTCAAAACATACAGGATATTCTGGACAATTTATAAGGAACTAAATCTTACTTAACTGGTTTTATCCCACAAATAAATTATTCTCAGAATGAATTGAAAGAAATCAAATCCGTTTTCGGACATTTCACTTGTAAGATAGAAAGCCAGCCTTTATGATTCAAGCCATACTGTCAGCTGGACACTGCTTCACCCAACTCCACCAGAACTCAGCAGGAGGCAAAAAACAAACATTAACTTCTTATAAAGTATGGCCTCTCACCATGAACAAAATATTGTCTTTATATACATCCATGGAAAGGAGAATCATAAGTTGGACTTGTCTTAGGAGAGAGAAAGGAAGGACTGGGGGGACAGATAAACACACTTCTGAAGTGGAATACAGGAAACTTGTTTTGAACCCAACACCACCAATGCTGTGCATTAATAACATCAGTGTCAATCGCAGCTCTGCCTTCACACATCACATAATCTTGTACTCCACATCTGATGAGGAAAAAAACAGGTCTTGCCTTGTAACTACAACTGAAAGCAAGGGGCCTTTCAGCAAAATCTTTTTCCAAAACCTTGATTCACAACCCGAACCTCCTGCTGGTTGGTGGAACAAGACAGCAACGTAACCAATGGCCTTTGATAGAGAATAAACAAACTTCCCACCCAGCCTGCTTGGGACACTCTAAATCCATCCTTCCATGTGGCAGGCGGCAGGAGCTGCCACAAGCTGAGCCTCTGCTGGTCTAGGTGGAAAGCACCACGAGAAGCAACGCAATGGAGGACAAGAGGAGGGAAAGAGAGTTGGTGTGTGGGAATGAGGACCAGGTCCCAGACCGATTCTTAATTAATTAGGATGTCGGAGAAGTCACCAAACCTCATTGAGTTCCAGTTTCCACACCTCTTTGCAATCTTTCTAGTCCTCAAACTTTCTGCTTTCTAGGAACCACCAGTGATACACAGATATCCTGGATAAGAAAATGGCCTTGGGCACTGAACCTCAAGGCTAACTCAAAGCCCTGTCACCTACCAGCAGGCAGAAGATTTCCCCAGCGGGACAGGATGCGAGAGGCCATGAAGGGCTCGCAGGCTCTTCTCACAGCTCTGGTGTTTTTTTTTTTTTTTCCTTGAGATGGAGTCTTGCTGTGTTGCCCAGGCTGGAGTGCAATGGCACAATCTCAGCTCACTGCAACCTCCACCTCCTCGGCTCAAGCGATTCTCCTGCCTCAGCTTCCCAAGTAGCTGGGATTACAGGTGCATGCCACCACGCTTGGCTAATTTTTTGTATCTTTAGTAGAGATGGGGTTTCACCATGTTGCCAGGCTGGTCTCGAACTCCTGACCTCGTGATCTGCCCACCTCAGCCTCCCCCAAAGTGCTGGGATTACAGGCGTGAGCCACCATGTCCGGCTGCTCTGGTGGTTTTAACTTCGAGAGAGGAGGGGAGGGGAAGAAAGCCACCAAGCAATGAAGAGGCTCCCTCTCAAAAGGAAATAGTGCCTCCAGTTCTAATCGGTCTTTATTTCTCACTTTACTGATTTCTCGAAGTAAAACAGCTATTTCAACCATTTTGCAAATATCAAAAAGGTCATTTGGCAGAAAAAAAAATCACTTTAAAAACCATTTGTTGTTACAGCCTAAGAAAGTCTACAAGGGCAGAGTCATTGCAGAATAAATAGCTACTACAGGGTTGGGGGCAGTGAGGGGAAGGGAACGTGCTGGGTGGGGTAGTGGCAGCAGGGGCACCGTGGGGACTGCAGGTGGGCAACTCATGGGTACCATGCTGATTTAAATCCAACTCCTTGGCCTAGTTTTCAGGCATGAAGTCGTTTCCAAAATCTGCACTATAATCTTACAGGAAGAGAGGGCCAGGGAATACCACTGTGCTTCCATCTCCTTTCCCACACACTACTGGGCTAATCCTTTTTTGAAAGGAAAACAAAAATTGTTTAATATTTTTTATTGTGTTAAAATAAAATTTTAAAACAAAATAAATATATGTAAGACAAAAATTTGCCATTTTAATCATTTTAAGGGTACAATTCAGTGGCATTAATTGCATTCACAGAATGGTACAACTATCATCTATTTCCAAAAATTTTCATCACTCCAAATAGAAAATCTATCTATTATGGAATAATTCCCATTCCTCTCCACACTCTATCCCCATCCCCTGGTAAACTCAAATCTACTTTCTGTCACCATACATTTGCCCATTCCATATATTTCACACAACATAAAATCATACACTATTTGTCTTTTTGTATCTGGCCTTGTTTTACTTGGCACGGTGTCTTCAAGGTTCATCTGTGTTGTGACATGGATCGAAATTCCCTCCCTTTTTATGGCTGAATAATATTCCACTGTATGGTTCGAGCCCATTTTGTTGAGCCACTCACCTGTTGATGTACACTGGGTTGTTTCTGGATTTGGCTACTATGAACATTTACTTTCTTCTGCTTTTGTACCCACTCCCCAGAAACCAAGACCACAGCAAAGGAGCAGAGACCCTGGGGCAGGGGCTGTGTTGCTTTGAAAGGCAGAGTAACCACGGAATAAACAGCCACTGCAGGCTGTCTCCCTACACTGCTTCCTAAACCTACTTGTAAAGGATGCCTGTGGCACCTGGCTATGTTTTGAAGTCAGGCCCCTTCCAACTGACTCTGATATTTTCCCCTCTTGCTTCACTCCTCCTCTGTCAGGCTGAGAGAGGCAGCAGAGAGAATTGGGAAGGGCAGAGATGGGCCCAAATCCTGGCCTTTCCTCTTACCAGGCAGCGGATTTCAGTACTCTTTGAGTTTCCCCTCCCTGCCTCTACCATACGGTGCCCACCTGCTCTCTGTAGGGGGTTGTGGCTGAGACAGCAGCACCCGTCACATCGGTGGCCCCAGCAACCCAAGCCCTGGTCCCTGTTCCCTTCAGGGCTGACTGGCTTCCACAGGAACTCACTTCACCGAACCTGTCATCTTTTTTGGCTCCATCTCAATGGCTACTGTATCGTACCTCCCCGCTGTTGACTTACACATTACCTGGTGGGGAGAAAGGCACCTGAGCAGTGGGTTTTGCCAAGTGAAATTTCACAAGAGTTCGATACCTGGGCACAAAGATGGAGTTGTGCAGGAAATTCTCAAAGACTTTGCGGTACTCAGCCTCCTCCTTCTCGGCCTGCTTCTCAGCTTCAGTTTTGGGGCAGGCGCAGCAAGGCCCTTTCTCTCCACCACACACCTCAGTCTTCGGGTTCTCTGTGACCTCCTCAATGTCAATGGTGCCGTCGGCATACTTCCTGATGGGGATTTTGTCTTCTCGGAAAAGAAAAGCCAAAACAAGAGTGGGAATGAAAGCCACTATACGTGCTTGTGAAGAAAAATAATAGCTCTCAGCACCTTTAATCAAGAAGATAGCTGGTCTTGGCCAGATGCGGTGGCACAAGGCTATAATCCCAGCACTTTGGGAGGCTTTGGCGGGGGAATCACCTGAGGTCAGAAGTTTGAGACCAGCCTGGGCAACATGGTGAAACCCATCTCTACTAAAAATATAAAAAGTAGCCAGGCATGGTGGTGCATGCCTGTAATCCCAGCTACTCGGAAGGCTGAGGAATGAGAATTGCTTGAACCTGGGAAGCGGAAATTGCAGTGATCCCTGATTGTACCACTGCACTCCAGCCTGGGCAACAGATTGAGACTCTGTCTCAAAAAAAAAAAAAAAAAAAAAAAAAAGATAGCTGGTGTGTAATGGAGAACTACACTGTTACCTGATATGTGTAATATTAGGGCCCAGGTACATTCAAACCACAGGAATGAACGGTCACACCCTCCGTCCAGGCCGCCGGTGCACCTTTACCTTTGGAGCAGTAATTGTGCCGGTAAAGGTAGCCGTCCTGAGGCTGCCGCTGCCAGCGCACAATGTAGTAACTCAGGTTGCCGTTGGGCAGAGAGGGAGGGTTCCACTTCACGATTAACTGCGAAGAGGAGTTCGATGCTGAAAGAACGTCCAAGGGAATGGAAGGAACTGCAAAGGGGAACAAAGAATATTCCAGAAAATGAAATGAACTTAAGATTCAGGCTATCAGATACTCTGTGCAAGCCAACAGGAAACTGTAAGTTTGACCTGGATAAGAAAATAACAATGAACAATGAAATACAAAGTGAAAAGTGAACCTTATTTTGAAATAGTACTACTTTAAATGCCAACATTTCCCTTTATAATTTATTTCCTCAGATAATCTCTGTGAAAACAAACATTACTGAATTGTAAATGGAAAAAGGCTGCGGGGGCACAAGCAGAGTTAGAAGAGACAATATGAAAATCTACAGCTAATTCAAACACCTGGTATTTCTCATTTATTACAACTGCCATTCTCCACAGCGCTGAACTCCGGCAGTTTCGACAACTGGTAAAATAGGCTGACTTGGATTTCATCTGAGATTCTGAATCTCTGATAAAAATGTCATGAAGCCAGATGGAAAGAGGGAAGTGGAAAGGGGGCTGGAGAGCCTGTGTGTGTGCAGGAGTGTGCATGCCCGTGTCACAGCTGTAAGAAGGATGGGGAAGAGGCAATGCAAAGAACACGCAAGTCCACCATTTCCACAAGCATCCTTCAGTACAATGAGCGAGGCATGACTCTGAAAAGCAGTCTAAAACTGCAAATGCATGGAAGCCTCATTTCAAGCAAAGGACTCTGTTACCAGCAGAATGAATGCTGATTATAGGCAAAGCATAGTTATCTGATCAAGCTTTACTTATGCTGACCCCTGAACCCAAACCCAGAGCTGAAGTGTGCATAAAGATCAAATGCATCCCAGAACCACTGAAATCTTGTCCTTATTGGGTCACAAAAAAGCACCAATGTTGATGGTTTCCCAAAGCGCAGGAGACACCTTCGCTGGATATCGCTTAAACAACATGTTTGCCTAAGCCATTTTTCAAACTCGAAAAGGGTGGAGAGCTTGAGGGTGCTCCAGGTTATACAATACACACAAGGTTCTGAACATCTTTAAGGGATAATACTTTGGAAAAAGGTCATGACTAATACTAGTGTTTTCAGAGAAAATATAACCACTTGATGCTCAGCTACTTTAGGGTTTCCAAAAATAAGTACTTCAAAAACAAACAGCTCATTCCTAGATACATTCTTATGATAGGTGTCACAAAAAAGCCGAGGCAGAGGACCAAGTTCTTGTCTGTTTCTGCTGCGTGTAAGGACAGAGGACAAAACGTCGTGAACTGACTCATTTGTACAGTGCCTGGTTTCCATCTTTGTGGAAAGGAAGCAGGTTTCTTGAGAATCTGTCACAATAAGCAGATATTCCTATGTTTCCCAAATGCTACAGTGAATTGCTAGGCAGAGATCACTTCCAAACTTTAAGATGAAAAACTTACTCTGTTGCATTGAATCTCTGCTATACCAACCCACACCCAGGATCAGAAGTCTGTGCCAATTTCTTTTTAATAAGCACTTCACCCAGTGACATGACTGTGGCCACTTAACAGGGTCATGGAAATGGGGTAGGAGGGGAGGAAGAAGCAGGTGCACACAGCAAAAGGTTTTCCCCACCAGCATTTTCTTCTCACTCTCCTCTCTTGCCATTTAAACTCATTTTGTGCTTGCTTATGGGTATTTAAAAACACCTTACCCACTAAAATAATGGCTATTATCAAATAAAGTTTATCAGTGCTATAGGCTGAATGTCTGTGCCCCCCCACCAAAATTCACATGTCAAAATTTGAACCCCTAAGGTGATGGAATTAGGAGGTGTGGCCTTTGGAGGTGATTGGGTCATGGGGGTGAAGCCCTCATGAATGGAATTCAGGCCCTTCTATGAGAGGCCCTGGAGAGTGCTCCTGCATCCCTGCCACATGCAAGGACACAACGAAAAGACAGCCATCTATGAGCCATGGAGTGGGCCCTCACTAGACACCAAATCTGCCAGCGCCTTGATCTTGCACTTTGTGGCTTCTGGAACTGTGAGAAATACATTTCTATTGCTTATAAGCCACCCAGGCTACGCTGTTTTTTTGTGACAGAAGCTCCAATGGACTAAAACAATCAGTGTCTTTAAAACTGAAGTGGATTTTCCTACTTCTAAACTAGCTTTTATATACTTGGAAAACATTTATGTTTGCTTTTATTGTTTCCAGATCTGGAGTTGAGAAATGAGGTGGTTTAGAACCTAAAGATAGAGGAAGGAAGAATATCATCACCAGTGAATACTTTGAATATCCACAACATACCACATCTGCAATCTTTCAACTCTTGTTGAACTCTTTGGAACTCTACAGGCTCCAGAATGAAGATGGAAAACCAGTGAGCCACATGAATTAAGTGGAACACAGATCAGCATGGTTTCAGTTCCTGGAGGATTCAACATCAAAACAAACAAGAAAGAAGGGCAGCCGAAGATGGCTGTTTCCAGGCTGGGCCTTCCAATGAAACCAGCCCAGCATTCTGGAGGACCTGGGCTCAAAGGCACAGAGCAGGAGAGAGATGATGGAAGATGGTACTGAGGCCAGAAAATGGCACGGAAGAGCCTAACGTGTTAGCAGTGGGAAAAAGTATATAACACAGTATTACGTATTGATAAGAAAGACAACAGGCATAGCTCACTGGTAACTCTACAAGGACACCTTGTATAAGCAAGCCCAGTGAGCTTGTGAAGAAGCGTGGATGCTGGGGGCTTGTCTGGGCATGGATACCTGAAGCATTGGTGCGAATGTACAAGATCTCACTCTTGGCCCCACGGATATGGTCGTTCTCCACCATGGTGAGGGTCACAGCCTTGACGTAAACGGCGTACTGAGTCCAGGGCTTCAGCCCATGCAGTAAGATGCCGGGCTCCACGTCCTTGTTGGGCGGGAGGTCCACGTCCACCATGTTCCAGCTGTTGGAGCCGCAGGCATCCTGCCCATCATACTCCGTGACATTCTTAAAAGGTCTGAAAGACAATCAATCAAGTTTAGAGAAAGTTCGGGGCTCTGACATCAAAATCCTCAAAAATCTTCCCCAGAGGCCCAGCACGTCACACTTTCTTTATTAATCAATTAGACTTTTATAGAAGAAGAAAATGAAGCGACTGGACTCTGGGCTTCCCCAGTCGTGCACTACAGAATTGAATGCTCTGCCTCAGGAAGAACCAGTTCAACAGTTACCAGGATTTGATAGTTACTGCTCCTTAAGAACAGATGTAAATACTATTTTTCTCTCTTCTGATTGCAGCATTTTTCCATCATTAAGAAAAAAACAAGCATAGTCAGTTAATGCAAATATCAGATATTGATAAAAGGTAACTGTTGGAGAAAAGTGACTTTCTTACAGACAAACAGAAGTAGCTTCTAAAATTCAAATTGCTCATCAAAAATTCTGATGCTTAAGCATCTTATAATATTCAAATATTTAGTTTCCAGATTGCCTTAGAAACTAGCATCAAGTCCTTAGTGAAATTACCAGCTGACATTGCCAAAGCATTGGTGTGACTATCAAAGAGAATATAGTACTTTGCACAGACGCATGGTTGGGTAGATATTTTACATTTATCAGATAAAAGGGCTGGACAGCTGCTGGTCACTGGCTTCTGAAATAAACATTAACAAAACCCTGTCTGCTGTCATGATGGGAGATCATGAGGGGCTCCCCTATGTAAGAACCCTGAAAGCCTAGTAATCCTAAGTACCCCATTTCTCATTCATAGGACCCCAGCTCTGGCAGGAGGAAAGAGTACAAGATGCTGTCGTAAGGTGCCTCTGGTTCCTGCTCTTTGGAAGCCACTCATCTGGGAAAGAGAACTATGAGATTAAGATGGGACCTAGGAACGGGGATGGCTAAGTAGACCAGGGTAGCCACATGGATACAGGAGGCAAAGGAAGGAAGAGGGAGACCAAAGAGAGCTGCAGTTGGGAGGAATAACCGTCGGCTGCTTAGATGGGTGAATGTCATGTGATTGCACAAGAAAAGCTCCCAACAGAGTCCGGGAGAAGTCGCAAAAGGCTCAAGACATGAAGGTTGTTCTCTTTCCACTTTCCTTCACTTGTTTGGAAGGCTCATGACCTAGAGCAGAGGGCCACAGCTTGGGAGAGGCACACACAGAGAGAGACAGGAATAAGATGATACAAGGGAGCCATGTGGCTGCAGGGTGTTCCTGGGGTAGGGCTAGTGGGTAAGGAGGCTGAAACGATTATTTCAGTGAAGTCCCCCATCATCCTTTATGAGTCTGGACTGACCTAATTCTGGAAAAAACAAGCTTTGCCTACTCTGGGTTTATTTTATTCAAACATCTCTAATCACTCACTAAAGAATGACAGGCCTCAAGCTAACACTTTCCCATTCGTGGCTGTCACGGGCTGTGACTGACATCAAGGGGACAGCCCGAGAGGGTGCATGAGGATGAAGTGGGGATGCTTGATGTGGCTCTCCCTGAAGACTCTGCTGACTCCCCATATTGAGCCAACCCATTCAAGGATCAAAAGACTGGCCTCTCCCCATTCGTAGCCCTGTCAACAGAATGGCATCATCCAAAGCAGAAACTCACGCTTCCTTGTAGTAAACGGTGAAGCTGATGAGATCCCTGTAGTCAGGGGGCCGGTACCGGTGCCAGGTTATGATGATGCGATTCTTCCACGTGGTGGTGGAGGTGAAATGCAGGACGTCACTTTCACCTGGGGCACAGAGTACATCCGTGAGTGACAGAGATTCATGTGTCTCTGAAAAGCACCTGTCTTGCTCGGCACTGCTTTCCCCTTCCCCAAAGCTGGTTATATGTGCTAAGTTCCCTGCTGGGCTTCCTAAGTGGTTTTCTCGTTTTCCACTAAGAAATCATACATTTCACTACGCAGAGCTCCAAGGGTTCCATCCTTTGTTTTAGGTCAATCAGTTGCACTGGCTACTTGCCCAGGGACTTGGACATGAACCTGGGTTTCCTAACCTGAAAACAAAGGGCAACTTCAGTGAACAAGGTGAACTTATCTTTCTTCTCCATCCCTAAGATCCTGGCTATGAAAGGGGGCCTGGTAGGGTGAGGATGAGCCTTTAGGCTGCCCTGAATCTTCTTAGAGAGACGATGACACTTGTTCTGCAGTTGTGGATATCTGCCTGTTCCTGTACAACCACCAAACACAGGTAAGAGACCACAGGTGTGCCACAGAAAGGAACTTTTCTTGGTCTAAACTTGGTATCAAACTGGAAGGACACAGGAACTCCTGTGAGGCCTCCAGTGAGGGCTGACAAACAACGGGGGGCTGAGTGAGTGGGCTGACAAACAACGGGGCTGGATTAAGCAATGACAAGAAGATTTCACTTGACCAAGCCTAATGTAAATTCTATGGGAAGCAGGGCCTGGGTTGGCAGGTATGGCAGGGAAGCTGTGCCAAGTCCTTCTGTTATTCCTTGGACCAAATCTCAAAGTAATGATAAGGACCAGGGAAAGACTGATGACTGCCTACCCTCATGGAGACCCAGAGCTCTCTGATGAGTTGTCCTTTTGCCCCCTTATCTGCCTGAATGGATTACAATGACAAGAAGATTTCACTTGACCAAGCCTAATGTGTTCTATGGGAAGTAGGCCTGGTTGGCAGGTATGGCAGGGAAGCTGTGCCAAGTCCCTTCTGCTATTCCTTGGACCAAATTCAAAGTACGATATGACCATAAGACTGATGACTGCCTACCCTCATGGAGACCCAGAGTTTCCCAGAGCTCTCTGATGAGTTGTCCTTTTGCCCCCTTATCTGCCTGAATCCCACTACACACTCAAGAGGTGAAGCAGAGGGACTGAAGACAGTAAAAGAGCTAAGAAGTCTTTAGGGCAAAATGTGCACAACTGAGATCGGAAAATGTCACAGTTCCTGCTGAAGTGTTACTTAGAGAGGAAACCATGATTTTTTTTTCAAAAGAAAATAAATGGCTACTACATTTATGATCTGACAGGTCAGACTGGCTGACTCTAAGGAGAAAAGCACTCTGAAATGCTCTGATACATCCGATTTTACTACGGTCTGAACAGTGAGCAAGGCAGGGGCTTTGCAGGGACAGAGTGGGCAGGGGGAGGGAGGTGGCACTGGTCCTAAGCCTGCTGTTCAGCCCTAGGTCAGTCAGCATGCTTCCCTCTACGATCCCCCAGAGCAACGAGTATTGCCAGGTAAATCCAGACACCAGGAAAACAAGCCAAAGCCAAACACGTATCAGTTCTGATTTGCCTCCCCGCATGTATATCTGTGTGCACACACGCACAAATCACCCTTAATCATACAAACTACTTTTTTTTCTACTACCCTTCCCTTATTAAAAGCCAAAGGTGAAAAGACAATTTACTTTTATCACCCTGTCCAGCCGAAGAGAACCACACCATTCTCAGCAGCCATATTCTACACAGGGTTAGATGAGAAACGCGCTGCTGTGTCTCTCATACGAGACCTTAAGTTTTATAACCAGTACAAGGCTATAATTATATTGTTCTAAATTTAAAAAGCAGTATCAACTCAGGGATGCAGGCTCACTCCATCTTTTTCACGTTGGGGTGGGAGAAACAAGGCGGCCGAGTGTAAGGGGCAGGAAACCTGCGGCCCACAGGGGCTGTTCTTAGGGCAGAGCCGCCTCCACCTCACAGGCCTGTGCTTCCCTTCTGTGGGAGCGGGAGGATAGAGCTCACAGGGCTGGAGCACCCTGGCTCTTCCCTGAAAATAACAGGACAGGGCATGGTGGCTCACACCTGTAATTCCAGCACTGTGGGAGGCTGAGGCAGGTGGATCATTTGAGGTCAGGAGTTTGAGACCAGCCTGGCCAACACGATGAAACCCCGTCTCTACAAAAAAATACAAAAATTAGCTGGGCATGGTGGCGGGTGTCATAATCTCAGCTACCCGGGAGGCTGAGGCATGAGAATCGCTTGTACCAAGGAGGCAGAGGTTACAATGAGCCAAGATCATGCCACTGCACTCCAGCTTGGGTGACAGTGAGACTCCATCTCAAAAAAAAAAAAAAAAAGAAAAAGAAATAATCTAACTGTGCACCTGTGTATAAAAGGACATTTAATTGTGCATTCTGTAAGCAGCACTTTAAAGTTTGAGAGAGAACCTATTTATAAGTGTTTCACACACTCACAGAGATGTACAGAATTTGTAAATATGAATACATCACGTATCTGCCCACTACTGATTCTGAAGACATATAAGTAGCAGCAAAGCGCTAGTGAAGATGGTCTAGTGGTCCCCCATGTGAAACAAGAAAGGGCCGCAGAGGAAAGTTGCCATCACACATGGGAGGAGGGTCTGCTGTTATCATGATGGTTGGGCCCACGGTGTTTTGGATGCTGTCACTCACAGGAGGCTCTCTCCCCGTTGTTCCTGGTGTTTATGTCCCCTTTGCTTTGGCGCCCTTTAGTCCCCGTCACTTCCTCCATGCGGTAAATTTCCGAAACACACAATTTGGGATTGAAAGCAAAGTACATTTTCCCTGCTTTGATGGTCAGGTTGCGGTGGTCCCAGTCCCATAGTTGCTGCAAGTTCTGGTTGTCGAGGACGTAGAAGGAGTAATTCCTAGAAGCACAGAAATCGATGTTATGTTATGTTAGCGCACCTGCCCTTAGCCACAGTCTTCTCTAGCCTGTTGGCCACATAACATAGGTCCTCTTTGCCACCTGCTCCACAATACATTTCCTTTGCCAATAAGAGATTTAGTTATTAACACTATAGGAGAACAGATAGTTGCTGTTAACAATGGCAACAACATGATTCAAGGACAATGTATCAAAATCGATAAGATGCTAATTAATTTTATGACCTCTATTACCATCTAATAATGCTTCTTGTATCAGAGGATGTTACTAGAATCATTCCCAAGAAATGCTTTTGGTTATTTTTCTCAGCCAAGTATGCACAACGTGCTTGAAAGCAATCCATGAGAGAACAGACATGCTCTGCTACCCAACCGGAACAGCTTACACATTTGCTCTAAAGTCTCCCATTATCCATGGAAGTAAATCCTGCCCATGCCCAATCGGCAGCATGATGGGATAGGAGACAGCATGTGACAGGGAGACAAACTTGTGGGGGGTCAACCCTGGGCCTTCTCCTTCCCTGATTCATCTTTCACTCTGAGAAGCCCCAGTTCCAGTCCCTGGAGGTGTGGGGGAGGAGGAAGAGCCACCAACAGGCAGTGCCCTCGGCCTCTCATCCAGGCAAGAGGACTTGGAATCCAATACAGTGGTTCTCCAAGTTTCGTGTGCACAAAGCTTGTTTGCAAAGTGGCTGGGCCCCACCCCCAGAGCTTCTGATTCAGCTGGGGTGGGCAAAGAATCTGCATTTATCACAAGTGCCAGGTGGTGCTGACCCCTGCTGTGGTCCCTGGACCACATGTGGAGAACCAGCAATCTAGGAGAGGTTGAGTTCCAGTGAGGTGCTGGAGGACCAAAGCCCACCAAACCAGAAGTGGCTTCTGCCCCAGAGGGTGTACACACAAGTAGCGGATCCAACCAGCACAGGAAGCCGTTCTATCTGGCTACCCAGGTGGCAGGACAAGTCCATCCCCAGGGAGGCAAGAAAGCAGACAGCTATGGCTTGGGTCTAGAGAAAGATCCCTGCAGTGGGCCTTTCTCTCTGGCTTCCCCAGGAAGCCAGCAGACAATGCCAGGGCTGACAGTCTGAGTTCTCTGTGCTGATGGGCCTGATCCCCATGGACCATGAATCCTTCCTCTCCTCTTCCCGCTCCGCTTCTTACTAAGTTTAGGAATCAGTGCAGTACTTTGAGTGATTTCTAAGATCCACTCACAGATCTAATGTATAAACACACAAACAAAAAAGGACCCCAGCCCTCCCTACAGAGCCAGCATAACCAGGTCAGAACAGAACCCCTAAGCCTTCCTCTGCCCTGGAGGCTACGTGCATTGGGGATCTCTCTGCATCTGGTGAGGGTCTTCATTTACACCCAAACCAGGACCTCTAACCAGCTGGTCAATCCTCAGCCTGATTCTCATTATGGTTACAATGCTGCCAAGCAGCCCTGTGACATTTTCCTGAACATTCACAAATAGAGGTCAGACCAGGAGGGAGTTCAGAGACTGGGACCCAGGACCAGAAATGACTGCACAGCCACATGCAGGTCTCTTAGTGCTATTTGTAGCCCTGTTTACTCACTCGTAGAACAAGGGGAATGCACAGGTGACATCTAAGCTCCCTGTCTACTTTAAGAATGCCCAGAAGGAGTCACAGAGCTGCCACGGAATCCACCCTACAAGCCTGAAGCCCAACCCTTCCCTGAGCACTGGGCTCTCTGTTCACACAAGTGCTGGGGGTGGAGGTGGGAGTCCTGCCAGCACAGGGGTACAGTGAACACACAAGTGAGTCGAAAGAGCGCCTCTGAAGCTAAGTCAGGCTCCTCACAAGCCCATCTTTAGGCCTCTGGACACATTAGTGGCTACCAAACTGGTAGCAAAAACTTGTGAGTCAACAATTCTTCCCTTTCAGTAAGAGCTCACTCCTGAACACATAGCTATCCTGGAAAAGCCGCATAAGACATTGTCCAAATGATCTCAGATCTGGTCAATGCAACACAAGGCGTGTTTCCCGGGGAGCAGTGCTGGGATATGGCCCAGTTGGCTCTACTGCTGCCGGGGGGTAGGCCCCATCCACACCTGCTCTTTCTCACAGCCAGGTTTCAGGTGACACTGCTGGAGGTCAGAAGGGCTCCATGCAGTCATACAACTGAAGGAGGGATGGCGTGAAAATGGATGTGTCCTATCATAAGCCCATTCTTGCTCATGGAGTTTCTCCAGCTCCAGAGGAGACTCTGCAGTGATGCATGCCCAAGTGTGGGGCTGCTTCCAGGTACCTGAGTTAGTGTTACAGGACGAAATATCCTTGCTGGTGAAGAAACCTCTAGGCTGCCGGTAAGGACCAATTAATCAGGCCAAACTTCCGTCTACACCCAGAACGAGGCCTCTTTTAGTAAAACTAACTTCACTAGCAGGGAGCAGAACCACACCAAAAATACCTTCTGAACAAAACATTCTTCTCCCCACGGGAGGAAGCATGAATTATAAATCAGGAATTTGACAGATGAATGACAGGCACACTGAAATTCTGTGTATTTGATTAATCACTTTGAAAAGCAAGATTATCTTTCTACAGTAAACACAAACATTTTTTACAATCATTGAAGAGGCTGGGAGCCAGGATACCAATATCAATAAAACCCAGGCATTACGGAGCCTGTGGAAGCTAAAGAAAAATAAAAATAAAACCCTTGTCAAAATAATCATCAAGTCATTCATGAGCTGCCTGTCAATACTGTGCTTGTTATTCCAGCCGCAGCTTGGGGCAAGGCTCCCTGCTAAATTCCTTCCATGATTAGGTGAGAATTAAGAGAGGGTAAAAGGCAGAGACCTGTCTGCACATCTTTAAAATATGCATAAAGTTATCATTGTTTCCTAAAGGAAAAGACTACTTAAGTAAATAACTCAGTAAATGTGATTTCCATTGTTCCTAAGCTTACTGCCTTTACCTTCAAAGAATGCTTTTAAAAATTAGTTTTTTTTTTTCTTGAGACAGGGTCTCACTCTGTCATCCAGGTTGGAGTGCAGAGGCGCAATGACAGATCACTGCAGCCTCAACCTCCCAGGCGTAGGCTACCCTCCTACCTCAGCCTCTCAAGTAGCTGGTACCATATGTATGCCCCAACATGCTTGGTTAATTTCTCTTTCTTTCTTTCTTTTTTTTTTTTTTAAGAGCTGGTATCTCACTATGTTGCCCTGGCTGGTCTCAAACTCCTGGGCTCAAGCAATCCCTTGCCATGGTCTTCCAAAGTGCTGGGATTACAGGTGTGAGCCACCACACCTGACCAGTTATTTATTTTTCTTTAGCTTCCATATGCTCTGTGATATCCAGATTTTATTGATACTGGTATCCTGGTTCTCAGCCTTCTCTATGTTGTAAAAAATGTTTATTTCCACACTTGGGTAGGCCCTGTCTCCCAATCTGTAGACCACACGGGGTGGCAACAGTTGGTTATCTTCCTGAGGACATCTTTATGTTATCTCTATCGATATTTGAGTGCTGCTTGAAGATAGCCCCAGGTACAGGGTTCAGAGCACTCCATCTGGGAATCCAAAGGTCAGGTCTGAGCCTCATCTCCACTTACTGAGGAACAACTCTGGGCAAAAGATTTATTCAGCTCTCCCAGGCTGGAGTCTCTCAGCTGCAAACTGGGGGTGTCTTCCTTGCTTTTCTGGCCGAGGCCAGCTGGAAGAATTGGATGGGCTAAACATAAGAGGATACCATGAGCTTTTAATCACCCCCACAAAAGTGCAGGATGACCTGTGCTACTCTCTGAAGTGTAAAAGTCCCCTGGAACAAAGTCTCAGAACAGGAAGGTCCTGTGCCCTGATAAATGGAGCTGAACCTGAGGTCTCCAGCCTACAGAGGTAGGAAGGACAGTTTCCCCATTTCAGTACTTGCTGATATATTGAAAACAATTCTGCAATTATACAACCAATCATTCCAGTTCCTTTCTCAGAGGAGAAAACTGCCTCTTCACGGCTGTCTCTAGAGGGCATCAGAACCCAGGACACAGGCTGTCATCGGCAACAGAGCCATCCACAACTGATAGAGTAGTTGGCCTTTTTTACCTTTCTGCAGATGCTCCCACCAATTCATCTGCAAACGGGTTGGTTTATATCATGTCCACCCTCCCGCAAATCCAATATTTACATCAACCTTAGGGGTTCAGCAAGGGTGGGAATGTCTATCTAGGTGGAACCAGGCACCATACAGATACTCAGAAAATGTTTCCTCTTTGTTTTGTTAGGTGTTTCTTAAAAATAGCTTTACTTCTGAGGTATAATCTACCTATCAAATATTCACCCATCAGGCCGGGAGCGGTGGCTCACGCCTGTAATCCCAGCACTTTGGGAGGCCGAGGTGGGCGGATCATGAAGTCAGGAGATCGAGACCATCCTAGCCAACATGGTGAAACCCCATCTCCACTAAAAATACAAAAAATTAGCTGGGCATGGTGGTGGGCGCCTGTAGTCCCAGCTACTTGGGAGGCTGAGGCAGGAGAATGGCGTAAACCCGGGAGGTGGAGCTTGCAGTGAGCCGAGATAGCGCCACTGCACTTCAACCTGGGCAACACAGTGAGACTCCGTTTCAAAAAAAAAAGAGAAAAAAAAATTCACCCATCATTCCATGAGCTTCAGTAAATTTACACAACTGTCCATTACTCAGTTTCAGAACATTTCCATCACCCAAGAGTTCCCTCATTCCCATTGGTGGTCAATCTCCACCTCTTCCCCACAGCCATCCCTGGTCTGCTTTCTGTCTCTATAGTTTTGCCTTTTCTGCAAATTACATACTAATGAGTCATACAATATGTAGCCTTTTGTGTCTGGATTTTTCCTTTTCACTTATCCTAATGTTTTAGAGGTTCACCCATGTCATAACACGCGTCATACTTCACGTCTTTTTATTGTTGAGTAGTCAGTTGTCCTTTGTGCCACATTTTATTTATCCATTTATCTTTTTATCCATTCATCTGTTGATGAACATCTGAATGGTTTCCAGTGGGTCTTTTTCTTTGGCCTGGGGGTCAGGGGAGTCCCAGGAGGCTATTATGAGTAATACTGCTACCAAAATTCATACACAAGTCTTGTGTGGGCATGTTTTCATTTATCTTGGGTGGATCCTGGAATTGCTGGGTCACAGCGTTGAGTGTATATTTTCCAAAAGTCCCAGGGAAATGTTAAAGAGCGGCCATGTTTCAGCCTTAGAGCTCCAAGAAGGTATTACAAAGCACTGTGTGTTGCAAAGTCAAGTGGTAGGAACAAAAGCATAGAAATGCCTATCTGCGAATGTCAATTCTTTTAACTCACCACCCTCCATCTACTTTTTCCTTCTTCTTTTCAAGGCAACAATCCTTGGTAGCACCAAAGAACATGAAATTTTAACTCCTTAGTTACCTGATGCCATCAGGAAACAAGGTTGTCCAAACAAGGGGATTTTCCAGATAGTGAAAATATTCTCTTAAGAGCTTAAAAATTAACTATTTTATAAAAATCGTGTACATGTGGATTACAAAACCTGTTTCCTTTGTAAACAGCAGAGCGGCCTTGATTTTCTTAATGTCTAAGGTCATTACTCTAGAAATACACCCTAGTGGTGTCCTTGAGGAAACCATGACTATGGCTTTTGTCATTCGGTTGCAAAATCAGCTCACCCTGAGTGTGATATAGAAGTCAACAGGCTCTGAGTGAGGAATAAGAGCTCTGCTCTACGTAAAATGCTTGAATTCTCTTCTGGATGGCTCAGGAGACTTTTTGAGAGGGATCTCAGTGACATTTTGGAAAGTCAAGGTTGTCAGAGTTGAAGGATCTCTGCATCTCGAATTGTTCTGTTCTCCATCAAAAACAAAAGGCTACAAAAGTTTCATCCTATTGAACCAAATGGAAATATTTATGTTATCATTGGCTGTAAAAGAAGTTCAAGAAGGCTGGGCGTGGTGGCTCAAGCCTGTAGTCCCAGTACTTTGGGAGGCCGAGGCGGGTGGATCACAAGGTCAGGAGTTCGAGAACAGCCTGACCAACATGGTGAAAGCCCGTCTCTACTAAAAGGACAAAAATAAGCCAGGCGTGGTGGTGCGTGCCAATAATTCCAGCTACTCAGGAGGCTGAGGCAGGAGAATTGCTTGAACCCAGGAAGCAGAGGTGCAGTGAGCCGAGACAGTGCCACTACGCTCCAGCCTAGGCAATAGAGCAAGATTTCATCTCAAAAAAAAAAAAAAAAAAAGAAAAAGTTTAAGAAAATAGTGTGACACGTGTAACAACATGGATGAACCTCTAAAACATTAGGCAGCAGTGTGAGGGGAAAATACTTAGAAAAAAACCGCCAAAGTGCTTTGTGATATGCACACGGGAAGAAATGAAGGGATAAAGCAGTGGTTTCCCATCTTTGCTCCCTGCTGAAGTGCCTAGGGATCTTTAGACAAGCACTGATTCCTGGATCCTAATTCCAAACACTCCTATTAAATTGGGGTGGGGGTGCAACTTGGACATCAGGATTTCTCAACCCCACCCCCGCCCCCACCCCCAGTGATTCCATAATGTGTAGCAAAGTTTGAGAAACACTGGGATAAAAGTTATCTTGGCTTAAACCAAAAGCATATCGAAATAAAAATTTCAGCTCTGCTAACACTCTTCTATTCAAAAGCCTTGAATATGTTCCATGGTCTACCTAAATTATAACCCTTTATACCTGGGTGCAAAACATCTTACGTAACTCTAGTACTACCCACCTTTCCAGCGTTAGTTGCCCAACAGGCCCCAGGATGCCCCAACTTGTTGCCTTTGCTCCTGCCACCCTACCTCGAATTGCCTTTCTTCACTTCAATCCTCTGCTTTCCCCAAGTTTTTCCCGAACGCCTTCAAGGCCCATCTCAAATGCCACCTCGTCAGAAGCCTGTCTGATCTTCTCAGGTATCTGGCTCTTCTCCATGCCTAGGGCACATTTCTCTCTTTCCCTTGTAACACTGTGCGAGTTCTGCTTTGCACTGCTGATGTTTATCTGTCTATCATATCGTGTCCTTCTCTTTCTCGCTCTGACTCTTCCCTTCTTGCAGAAGAAGTGAGGGCAGCCAGTGAAGGGGCCAGACCTGACTCTGTCCCTGAGTCTAAGGAGAAATGAACAGCTGAGGTGTTGCTAGTGGTCTCAACACCTGAAGTAAACAGAGCTCTTGGGGAGCTCATCATCGTGAGGACAGGCTATACCTTTGTGGTCATGTGCCAGGAAGACAGGGTGAGAGAAAAGAGCTCCCATCGAGAGGTGAGATTCTTAAGAGCCCTAGCTCAAAAGAGAGCCTCTTAGAAGCAGCACGCAGGAATGAAAGGCTGGAGCCGGCATCCTTGGAGCTGCAGGGCTACTGGGGAGCAGCAGCAGCAGGGAAAACCCAGGGCCCACTTGCCCTCCCCTGCATCTAAAATGGTAAGAGCACGCCAGGGGCCCAGGCTTACCTGGGAAGCCTCGCAAACACCTGAGCATGTATCCTTAAAAGATTTTGCTGATACTTCAGGTTTTATGCAAGTTTCAGATAATGAGAAAGACATCATAAATATTCTTGCAAATAAAAATCAGGCTTTAATTTCTAGCTACATTTAAGTGCACAATACTTAGTTAACACTCCATGAAAAGGTAATCACATAATTCCTAATAGAAATTAAACTCTACTCTCAGCATTCACCTTTATGCCTATCATTTGCTTAGTCTAGAAAAAAAAAAAGGTGTATCGTTAAGCAACAGGAATATCTGACAGCTACTAATCTGCTAAAGAAAAAAGAGCTCACAGATATCTGGGATTCCAGAAACACAAACCTACTTAGAAAAAAAAAAAAAGCGGATAAAAAATTCATTTTAAAATTTAATACAATGAACAATGATCATCACCTTAAATTGGTAGGACCTCAGCTTGCCAGGTAAGTGACTGAGGAGTCTGGGGCTGGGCGCAGTGGCAGCCTCCTTCGATTTGCAATGAGAAAGAAGTTTTTCAAGGATTGGTGTTCCCAGTGGGGAGGACACTGTGCTTTTCAAGGATGGAATGAAGAGCTGCCCGCTCTCGTTAGCTCTATCAGATGATGGAATTTTAAGAATTTAAGACTGACCAAGAGTTAGTCTGAGAAAAACAGGGAGGCTGTAAAGAAACCCTTATGCAGTAACTTTATCCAGTTGGGGCAGATAAATCAGCAGGGACAACCTTTCCCATGACCTTCTCGCCTCTTTTTTTCCTAAATTATTTTCCCAAATTCTCTTTAGAAGGAATTCACTCCTTAATTGATAACTCCTTTTATTTTGAAGCATTCGCTTAAAGCCAGGCAACAGTCGTACTTAAAAGGGAGGGTTTAAAGTGAAAAGTACACATGCAAAGGTACACATAGGCTGACGGCTGGAAAGCAATTGTGCATGCAATAAGCACCAGCTTTTATCCTCCAGTGAAAAGCCCATGATTATTTTAAAACCCCTATCACAAAGCACGCCTGTGCCAAGGCAAAAATTCTATCAATAGTGCAAATCCTGTAAACTAATCAATAAAAACAATCTTGTGAATCTGGATTTCTTTGTAACAAAATGAACTGCCCATGCTCCTCTGCTGCTCTCACTTCCAATGTGTTAAGAGGTGGAGTAGTTGTGCATAGTAGAGCACAGCATCCTGAGGCAGATGAGGGTTGTGCGAATGATTTCACAGGGAGGTGAGCACTCCAGATCAACTGGCTGTCAGTCTTGGCAGAAAAGCCCCAAGAACACCAAGTCTGCCCCAATTCTGCCGTCTCACTGGTCACAGTCAGACACGCAACCCTTGACTGACGAGGCAAAATCGAGTAAGGGGGAAAACATCTGTTTTCCAAAACAGCAAGAATGGAGAATCATGACTCTACCCAACACCTACTCGAGCAGCACAGGCAATACTGTGGCTTCTTCCTTTCTTCTATTTAACAAGGCAGGGAGGGCTCTTACCTCAGCAACAGTTTTACAAGTATGCTGCTTACTTTGTAATAGGAGAACATCAGCTCATGAAATTTGGGGCACTTACCCTTCTAGCTGCTCCTCTCCTAAGATGAGGCGAAGGTTTTTTAGGAAGGACAAGGAGACCAAGGCATGGGAATGGCGGATCTTCACGTAGCCCGTCACCACCTCGATGAGCCCCATGAAGTTCTCCAGTTCTGAAGCAATGTTATCTACATTGAAAGGGGATCGTGTCACTGTGTGTCACTTGGTGTAAGGGTGACATACTTGGATTCTTACAAACACAAGTGAGAACAATTCAATGGCAGGTGCCCCCTGAGATGCTCAGGCTCCCAGCACAGGACTGGCCATTCCCGGACAAAAGCATGCTTCCCTGGCTTGACTCTCAACAACCACTCCTGGAATGAGGCCTCCCAGGCAGGGGAAGGCAAGTTGCTAGGAGGTTGGGGGTACTGCAGCTTGATTTATGATCAAGCTGATCATAAATACCAGACTGGCAATTAGCTAAGGCTGACAAATGTAGGGAACGTCTTTTAATATGCTCTGTCAACAGACAGTATGGCCTCCATGGTACAAGGGCATGACTAAATCAACAACATTTTCTCCATCTCATTCAGAACTGCCTTTGCTGCCTTTCTAATTCCTAAGATACAGGAATCTATATTTAAAGGTTCCATTTTACTAAGACTAGAAGAAAATATACCAAAATGTTAACAACGGCTATCTATGAGGGATTTTGAAAAATTCATTTCTGCATTGCTAAGTTTTCTATAATATTTATGTATTGCTTTTGGAACTAGAAAATAGTTGGAAAAATAGTTGCTAATACAGATGTACAAACATAATATGCAAATAACAGGTTTCCTTTCATCTTGTTTAGTCTACCCTTTCCCCTAGTAAATAAAAACCAATTTTCAGTTCAACTAATGCTAAAATTTTAATACAGACCATAATGAACTGGGTGTGGTTCAATTAATGGGATTTTACTGTGTATTATTTATGAAGACATATTTAATAAAAGGCTCTATTTTGCTTTGAGTTGATACAAATAAAATAAGGGTACTAAAGGATAAAGCCCTACATCTAATTTAACAGCTTTCCAAGAAAAATTAAAGGGAAATTTAAGTTGAAAAGATGAGAGCTTGTGTGCAGTTGATGTTTTAAGGAAGAGATCCTGAATTTTAAACGTGGGGCAGGAAGCATGCCTTAGTCAAGATCAGGAAATTTCCCCTATAATGAGATGTCCCATCATCCTAAATCCAATCTATTTCCTGCAATGGACATAAACCGGAAGACACACTTCACCATCATGCATAAATATGCACCAATTCCTTCATAAAATGATACTTCTCCATGGATTTAATTCACAGATTGAAATTTTATCTTCAGACGAAGAAAAAAAAGTTTAGGCACTCAAAAGGTATGTTCTAGGGATAAGCAAATTAAAAGTAAATGAGAAAATGCAGACACAGCCAAAAGAATTAAACTTCAGAAGTACCATGAGAGCAGGGAAGCCCTAGTTGTGGGGAACAGAGTTACCTTCATCATGGAGGACTGAGAGTGGGTATATTGTGAACAACAGCAAGGGATATCAACAAAGTTAGAAGAAATAAGCAAAAACTTGTTTCTGTTCTTTCTAAACCTTAAGAAAACAGTTTATTCCTTTAACAAATATTAAGGAAAAGCAAATTCTCAAAATACATTATTTTTCCTCTCAAACTATAAAAAAAAAATTCTTCATAAAAGGATTTCCCCAAAAAATTCCTTTCAACTTGAAGGTCTTTTTACAGTATTTATTCTAGCTTATAAAACTATCAGTACCTTGACCAAGTGGTCCTAGTAGCAGAGAATTTAAGGCACCATTACTAGAAGCCCTTGGCAATGAAAAAATCACAAGTGAAAAGATTTTTTAAATTATCCAGGCATGGTAGGGTGTGCCTGTAGTCCCAGCAACGTGGGAGGCTGAGTAGAAGGATTGTTTGAGACCAGGAGTTCCAGGTTACAGTGAGCTATGATTGTGCCATTGCACTCCAGCCTGGGTGACACAGTTAGACTCTGTCTCAAAACAAAACAAAGAAACAAACACACAAAAAAACAAAGAAGTGAAGAGATCGCAGGCTAAGTCAGTGGGAAATCCTTTGCACAAATCCAACTGAGAAGCAACTTACCAGGAATGCCATCTACTGCAAATATAGGTCATTGTACCGGGGTGAGACTGAAACTTTACGTACACAATGACACATACTCGTATCCTTTTGTCTCTCACAAGTAAATCTGGCAATCTAGCATTCTTTTGGACTTCATAAAAGTTTAACGTGGTATCACTAAACTTCCCTTTGCTCAGTCTTCTCAGTAAATTCAAGTAACGAAAACTCTTTAGACTTGAAAGATGGGTGAATTTGGCTACAGCTGGAGTCTGCTGAGTCACACCTCTGATCCAATGGTCTCTTCTGGGGTTTGTATGTGTCAGGGCTTGCCTCTCCTATGCAAGATGTGACTAACAAAAAGATGAGCGATGACCCTCTTTACAGGAATAAATGATGTGCCAATGGCTAAAAAACAGATTGCCTTTCAATCTGTTTTTTATCTTTCAGGGAAACTCAAAGAAGAGACGTCATGCGTGAGGCTTACACACCATGTTGTTTATCTAAGCCCATATTTTAGTGGTGACTCAGGGACAGGAGCATGAAAAGCATCAACAAAAGAAAACCATGAGATCTAGCCATTTTTTCAGTGGGATGAAATACTTACTCCCCCGTCGGATGTTAATGAGCAAATTGCCCTTGAAGATGGTGCATCCTTGGAGCATTTGAGCAGAAGTAACAGAATCAATGGTCTTTGTTTTCTTTTCTTCCTCACAGACCTTGGGGCAAGGACCTTCACAAGGGATGCAGTACATGCTGTTGAAGAAAAAAAAAAAAAAATCAAAACCACAGATAATTAAGTCTGTCTTCTTGCATTAAAAAAGTCATAAGGATATGCTTTTTATTGTTATTACAGCATGCATTAGAAAAAGCAACTGTTTTGAAGTGTTCGTGTGGTCACATGGTATATAATTCCCAAGCCCACCCAAGATAAGCCACTCACATTGCAACCAAAAGGAGAAAGAGCCTACAAAGGAAGAGCGTGTTGCTTGCTTCCAGACAAAATACATGATGCATCCTCAAGGCATTTGTGTATCATAGCCTGTTGACTGATGAGCCAGCTGGTTCCATGTGGGAGAGATAGTGTTGCAGAAAGGAAGCTCTGGGGGTTCTCTGGAGGAACACAGAGCTGCTTTCTGATATTGTGACCCTGGCCTGTGTACCTGGAGGAGTAGCTAGGAGAGAAGACAGGGACAGCAAAGGGACTGTAGTGTCTCTGCCTAACGGTAGTCCAGCTCCTGCAGTCAGTGTCTCAGGGAAGCCCAGTGATGGATGCCAAGTACAGCACAGATCCATTATTTTCTTGCTAAAGCACAACTGAAATTATTTCTTGACAGTGTTTTGCAGAAACTTGTAAACTGATCCAAATGTTGTTTTCGCTGCATACACAATAAAAGCAAGGGGTTTCCATTACTTTGTAATGAGCTCTTATTTCAAATGCTATCCTGAACATGGCACAAACCACCAAAAGTCAGGGACAAGAAAGATTGGCACTTTTCCTGCTTACCTGCCGTTATTTACGAAATAGCAGACAAAACGCTAACCTAGCAGCTGAACCTTTGGGATCTATAGTTATATATAGAACAAGGGTCAGAAAGTTGAATTGATTTCCAAACAAGACAAATGATACGACCTTTTGCAACATGTGTGTTAACAGGATGGTTAGGTTGGGGAGCCATTACATGTACATTATTGTTCTTAAATCATCTCTCAAATTTCATGAAGTAAAAACATTCAAGAAAAACAGTGTAAATTATAGCTCTTTTTATTAATGTCCCTTCCCCCTATCTATGAAGGTTATTTTGTATCTAAGACAAAGATGTAGGGTTCTGTTTTGTTTAAAAGCTAATACGTAAACAAAACTTCTCTGGTATTTTCCTATTGCGTGTTTGGGAGAATGGGGATCATGGCTTCCAGAAGGCTCCTGCAGGAACTGGACCCACCCACAGATGGGGAGTCCTTCCTCTACCACTGCACTCACCATTCTCATTTCTAGCCTGGGCTGGGGGCTTACCTTCAGCACTTTTTTACTTGGTCTTCTGTTGTTTCTAATTTATCTACATACCCTATAAACTCCCACTCTCCCTTTAAAAAAACATTTTATTTTAAAATAATTATAGAGTCACAAAAAGCTGCAAAGATTTACAAAGTTACAGAGAGATCCCACATAGCCTTCATCCAATTTCCTCCAATGGTTACTACATCTTACATCATGATAATGCAGTATCAAACCTGGAAATTAACTGTGTGTGTGTGTGTGTGTGTGTGTGTGTGTGCGCGCGCGCGCGCACACACACGCACGTGCCCGCATGGTGCTCTGTCACTGATCACTTGTGTAGATTTGTGTAATCACTACAATCAAGATACAGAACTGTTCCATCACCACAGAGCTCTCCCTGATGCTACCTGTTCATACTCACTGCCCTGCCCAACCTAGTCCCCAATGTCCCTAACACCTGGCAACCACTTATCTGTTTTCCATCTCTATAATCTGTCTTTTTTTTTTTTTTGAGACAGGGTCTCACTCTGTCGCCCAGGCTAGAGTGCAGTAGCATGATCTCAGCTCACTACAACCTCCACCTCCTGGCGGTTCAAGTGATTCTCCTGCCTCAGCCTCTGGAGTAGCTGAAACTACAGGTTTGCACCACCATGCCTGGTTTTTATATATATATTTTTTGAGACAAGAATCTCACTCTGTCACCCAGGGTGGATGGAGTACAGTGGCGTAATCTTAGGTTCACTGCAACCTCAGCCCTTCTGGGTTCAAGTGATTCTCCTGCCTCAGCCTCCTGAGTAGCTGGGATTATAGAGACAGGTCAACACGCCCAGCTAATTTTTGTATTTTTAGTAGAGATGAGGTTTCACCAAGTTGGCCTCCTGACCTCAAGCAATCTGCCCACCTCAGCCTCCCAAGGTGCTGAGATAGGTTATGAGCCACTGTGTCCGGTCAAACTTTGTATTTTTAGTAGACACAGGGTTTCACCATGTTGGCCAGGCTGGTCTCGAACTCCTGACCTCAGGTTATCCATCCACCTCAGCCTCCCAAAGTGCTGGGCTCACAGGTGTGAGCCACCTCGCCCGGCTATAATCTGTCATTTCGAGGATGTTGTATAAATGGAATTATATAGTACGTGATCTTTTGTGGTTGGCTTTTTCACAGAGCATAACATTCTTGAGATCCATCCAAGCAGTGTACTTCAATGGTTTGTTCCTTTTTATTGCTGAGTAATAATATTCCATGGTGCGGATGTCCCACAGTTTGTTTAACTAATTACCTATCATAGGACATCTGAGTGATTTCCAGTTTGGGGTTATTACAAATAAAGCTGCTACGGACGATGGTGTACATGTTTTTGTATTGACATAAATTTTATTTCTCTGGGATAAATATCCATAATTACAACTGCTGGGTTGTAACGTAAGTGTATGTTTAGTTTCTCTCCATCTTTCACTCAAATAGAAAAATCTGAAGCTGGGTACAGTGGCTCACATCTGTAATCCCAGCACTTTGGGAGGCTGAGGCAGCAGGATCACTTGAGCCCAGGAATTTGAGGCTGCAGTGAGCTATGATAGTGCCACTGCACTCCAGCCTGGGCGACACAGCCAGTCTATCAAAGAGAAGAGAAAAGAAAAGGAAAAAAAAAAGGAAACAATCGTCTTTGGTGAAAAGTCTAGGAGTCATCGGGCACTTAAAAAATGTTTTTCTAAGAAATGTTTTGATAACATGTTTATAGATTAAGCTTCCTCAAATCCATTATGGTACAGAGAAGGTATAAACAAGATAAAAAAATAAATATTTTAAAGTAATTGTTAAGTAAGCCTCAAAGGCAGAGAGAAGGGAATTTATTATTCTTTATGGTGTTTTATTTTTAAACAAAAAGGTAGATGTATAGTTTTGAATGGACTGTAAGAATGAATAGGGGAAATAATGGCTCAACTCTCTGAAGAGTGTGCTAGAGCAGAAGAAACAACACTGTCAAATGGACAGCATTCCCACTTTGCCACAACTCTGGTGGCTGCAGAATGACCAAAGGCCTCCAAATGTCATTCAGAAAATGTATTCACAAAACAAAGATGATAGCATACTGAGTTCATGGACAAGCTACCGCTCCCCTAACCCCACCCCAAGGAGCAAGGTGATGTCTGAATAGTGGCTGAGCCTCAACTTGGTTCCAGGCACTGCCCCTGGGCCCGAGGTCTGCACCAGTAAAGGCCCTTTTACACTCAAAGGCTGCCAACAAAATGTGAGTACAATGCGGTAGACTGATTCTGGACATAATATGTATCCTCTGCAGCTCACTGAAGTCCTTGGCCTATTTATCATTTTAAAGTATTCAGAGTAATTTTGTTCTTCTTGTTACTATCCTAATGGTTATACAAATCATAAGAGGCAGAAAGTTGCTCTACATCTAATACTATAAAAGAAAATGAGTATTATCTTTGATTTGAAGGTAAACCTACAGTAGAAGCTGCATCTCCAAATAATATACTAGAAAAAGAACCCCTTTATAAACACTTGCTCGATGTACTTTATAGAAATAAACTGCAGCAAAAATTAAATTTAAAATTAACATCTACTTTTCTAATGATAAATGATATTTATTTATTTATTTTTTTTGAGACGGAGTCTCACTCTGTTGCCCAGGCTGGAGTACAGCGGCGAGATCTTGGCTCACTGAAAGCTTTGCCTCCCGGGTTCACGTCATTCTCCTGCCTCAGCCTCTCGAATAGCTGGGACTACAGGCACCCGCCACCAGGCCTGGTTAATTTTTTGTATTTTTAGTAGAGACAGGGTTTCACCCTGTTAGCCAGGATGGTCTCTATCTCCTGACCTCACTTCGTGATCCGCCTGCCTCGGCCTCCCAAAGTGCTGGGATTACAGGCGGGAGCCACCACACCTGGCCGATATTTTTATATTTGTAGAATAGATTTTGACAGACTCAGAAAGACAGGCCCCCTGGTGCTAATCACGAAGAAGGCATTTTGTCCACTAAAACAGCACTTTCCTAAAAGTCCTTTTTTTTTTTTTTTTTTTAAGACAGAGTCTCTGTTGCCTGTGCTGGAATGCAGTAAGGTGATTTTGGCTTATTTCAGCCTTGACCTCAAGGGCTCAGGTGATCCTCCCACTTCCAACTCCCGAGTAGCTGAGACTACAGGTGTGTGCCAACACGCCCAGCTAATTTTTGTATCTTTTGTACAGATGGGGTTTGCATGTTGCCCAGGCTGATCTTGAACCCATGGGCTCAAGGGATCTGCCTACCTCGGCCTCCCAAAGTGCTGGGATTACAGGGGTGAGCCCCTAAAAGTTCTTTACTCTGCTCCAGGAAAGGGAACAGCAACCCCAAATCTCCAATCTTCTTTTGCTTTCAAAGTTATAGTTACCACATTTCTAAACAATGTTAGCATCTTATTTTCAAAAGCATAAACCAATGACAAATTTGTAGAAGTCCAGTTGACATGTACAAAAGGGATGGCATTTGTTATAAGAAACTCCACTTTTTTTTTTTTTTTTTGAGACAGAGTCTCGCTCTGTCGCCCAGGATGAAGTGGTGTGATCTTGGCTCACTGCAACCTCTGCCTCCCAGGTTCAAGCAATTCTCCTGCCTCGGCCTCCCGAGTAGCTGGGACTACAGGCACGTGCCACTATACCCGGCTAATTTCTCTATTTTTAGTAGAGACAGGGTTTCACCATGTTGGCCAGGCTGGTCTCAAACTCTGACCTCAGGTGATCCATGCACCTCAGCCTCCCAAAGCGTTGAGATTACAGGCGTGAGCCACGTGCCCAGCCATAAGGAAATTCTTTGCTTCCCAAGTGAAGTCTCGAAGTTCAGGAAGGAAAATGAAGGACATGATGAGCACTGAGGGAGGGTCAAGGTAGAGGGGGATGAGAGGAAGGAAGTGTTGATGGGAAAATGTTGCTTATTTTAAGCTACTGCTTACTGTGAGCTGCTGCTAGCTCTTGCACTAAGATGTTTAGGTCTGCTTGCTGGTCTCAAGGATGGTGGTGGGGGCTTGGCCTGTCTTTTCTCTTACACTTCCAAAGCCTCACCTGGCTAGCAACACCTAGACTAGGAAAATCTATAACTATAGTCCTGTCTTAGATGCCAGCTTGGCAAGTACCCAGAGAGACCATGAACTTTGGGTATTGAAACCAGCAAGCAAGTACTTAATTTCAAATGGCCAGGCAGTATGCACTTAAAATATAAAACAAACTGGTGAGGGGGGCCAGTAAGCCATGCCAGTTGTTTCCAGAATCTCACCAAACATTTAAGGTAAGTCAGCCCTCTCAAACTGACCCACCTCAGTTAACTTCCTGAGGGCTGCACCCAGATGAAACAACTGACAGTCTACTTTTCTGTGCCAGGGTGGCGGGTGGAGTGGGGGCGGGTAGTGACCATATGTGTGGCCACGACTGACCTCTGGCTGCCGTTGCGGATGAAGCCTGAGGGGCACTCCTGCATGCACTCGCCGTCGTGGATCACAAAACCCTCGGAGTCGCTGCTCTCGGCGCTGAGGATGTTGGCGCAGAAGTCACGGTCCACACAGCGCCAGCCCTCAAACCTGTAGGTGTTGGGCGGGCAGGCAGGCACGCAGACACCGGCGTAGTAGTAGTGGCGGCAAGCTACACAGGCCGTGTCGTTGTCAGGTGCGCTGCAGCTGCCCAGGCACTCGGGGTGGCAGCACTCGTTGTTCTCGGTGCATGCCCTCTTCCCACAGGCACTCGGGCACACTGTGGAGACAGAGGAGAGACGGAGGTGAGATGGGGCAGGGGCGGCACCGCCTTCTCTGGGCCTGGCCAGCATCCTTCTGGGTCATTCACTGCTACCACCAGCACCAGATCGCTCACTGAGTAGACAATACAAAAACACACTACCAAATCCTCTCCCCAACCACTTAGACCTGCAAAGAGTAGATATATTTAAAGTTCAGCCTGTCCTAGGAACTCCTTGTTTGGTCTGGGACAAACCATTAGCTTCGGTGATCCTGATCCTCTCTCTTCCCATCTGTAAAATGAGGGAGATAACACCCACTTTTGAAGGTTGCCTCAGGCATGGGTGAGCCAGTGGAAGCCCTACAGGAACCCTATGGTTCATTAGTAATTTAAAAGGCATTGTGCTATGCTCACTTTGCATTTCAAATATGTTCCTTACTGAAAACTCTTTTAAAGCCTTAGTGTGTAGAAATGCTTATTTTGAAAATGATTAAACTACACTCTATAGTAAAGATGATAGCATTCAAAATGACTTCAGGAAAATTTCTGTTGGCTTAGATGATATCAAAGGTGCTACCCCAAATAAGCCATGATATCCTAACCTGTAAGATGACCAAGAAGTCACCATGTCTGAGGGTCATTCTCAAGTCCAAGAACATGCGTTTGTTACAGGAAAGGGGTCCTGACCCAGGTCCCAAGAGAGGGTTCTTGGATTTTACTCAAGAATAATTCAGGGTGAGTCTATAAACTGAAAGCAAGTTGATTAGGAAAGTAAAGGAACAGAAGAACCAGGACAGAGCAGAACCATTTTTATGGTTATTTCTTCGGTTGCCCATTTTTATGGTTATTTCTTGATGATATGCTAAACAAGGGGTGGATTATTCATACCTCCCCTTTTTAGACCATATAGGCTAACTTCCTGATGTTGCTATGGCATCTGTAAACACTCATGGCGCTGGTGGGAGTGCAGCAGTGAGGACGACCACAGGTCACTCTCGTCACCATCTTGGTTTTGGTGAGTTTGGGCCGGCTTCTTTACTGCAACTGTTAGATCAGCAAGGTCTTTATGACCTGTATTTTGTGCTGACCTTTAATCTAATCCTGTGACTCAGAATGCCTTAACCGTCTGGAATTCGGCCCCATTTTACCTAGCTCCTATTCAAGATGGAGTTGCTCTGGTTTCAATGCCTCTGACAGGTGGGTGAGTAGTATCTCTGAGCCCACGGAACCACAGGATATTAGAAGCCATTTCCTCTAAGCCTCTTTGTGTGCTAAAGTTAAATCAGTGTCTAATAACCACAGATCCATGTGTACATCCCAAATAGATGAGCTGGCATTTATTTCCATAACAATTCTGTCATGATCACACTCTGTGGGCTGTTAGTCTTACTTGTAAATTAAGTATAAATCAACAAAATATGAAATCTGGTTTGCATTATACATTTCCTATTTTATCCTCAAATTGGAAAACAATACAAAATTATTTAAATGTGTATGTTTTTGACTCTGACCTGCAATACTGAGTGGAGATTCTAGAATTCGTTTTTTCTTGTAATAAAAATACATGATGAAAAAAATCAGAGATCACAAACAAGTAAAGAGAATACAGAGAACGAGTAAGTCCATGTACCCACAAGTGACCCCTTTATTAATATCTTCATGCAGACCTTCCCTGGTCCTTTCTTATGTATGTACATGGACATATAAATACAAGTATCTATAAAAAGGACAAGCCATTCTGAAAGCTTTTTTTTTTTGGCACAAAAGGTTGTGAATTCCACAAACATTTAATAGCAGTACTACATCCCATTGTAGAATGTATCGTAAGTTACACCTGTTCCCAACTATAAGATATTTCCTTTACTTTTTATTATTGCAATCGGCAAAGCAATCTTCATGAGCACCCTTAACATTTCGTTCGGATCAATTTCCAGAATTCATCTTGTTGGGTTAAACTGTCCTCTAGAAAGTTTGTACCAGTTTATATACCCACCAGTTGCCTTCAAGAGTTCCTATTTCGCTGCAAATAGGTGAACTTGAAAACAGGTATCAGAACTTGGACATGCAAATAAACACTGTCACCTCTGAAGAAAATTGCTGTGATACTGTCAAGTTTAAAATACTTTTGCAACTTTCTCTTTTGAAGTCATCCTTTGACAGAAACAACAGGTTGCCTTCCATTATTTATTCTTCTTATCGTTTTCAGTAATTTTTAGTTGGGAATATTGCCATCCAGTTACAGACTACATCTCCCAGTCTTCCTTGTAGCTAGAGGTGGCCCTATGACTTAAGTTCTGGCCAGCGAGATATAAACAAACTTTTTGACTAGAAGACTCCTGAGAACAGAGAGGGCATGGCCATCCTGCTCCTTGATGGCTGGAATGCAGTAGTAATGCTTGGAGCTCAAGTACCAACCTTGGACCACAAGGTGAAACATCAAGAATGGTGAAGCACAATAAAAGGAACTTAGTACCTCACGAGAGTGGGGTCGCTAGGCTAACCCTGGACTGCTTACTCCAGACATCTTTAGATGCAAGAAAATACACTTTTATCTTGTTTCAATGACTGCTATTCATATATGCAACTGAACTAATCCCAATTGAGACATGTCTTCAGAGCTATCTATAAAGTAAAGAAGAAACCCATTCCTGTCAGTTTATGCCATTTTGTTGACAAGGATTGGCTCTCAACGACTCCAGGCTATTTCCAAAAACTAATCTAACCCACAAGTAATAAGGAGTTACCCATCTCTGATCACACCAAAAAAGTATGCATTTTATGAGTTCCTAAAATGTTGGGATATATATGCTGTCTGACAAGGTGACTTTCTTGAAGAGGATAACACAAATTTGAATTTACAAACCTAGTATATTTGCTGTAAACACACACACACACACACTCTCTCTCTATCATCAAGTCCCCACTTGAAGACAGTTAATAATTTCAAATATATCCATTACAGACAGAGGTCACGTCAAGGTCCAAGATCTAAAGATACACTAAAATTGGGTATCCCAATTTCATGTTTTTAAACTGGTAACAACAGAATATAATTCCATCTATTCTTCATTTATTCATTTAGCAACTATTTAATGTGTGCTGCACCTGTGTGCCAGAGAGATGCATGCAGGACCAGTGCCAATCCTGTCCCCAAGGAATGGACGACGCAGCAAGTACAGTAGTGAGTGGAGTTGCCTGGTGTTTCCTGGACTTCTGGGTGCTGGGGAAGGTTTTGTGGAGTTGCAAGTGGAAAGATGAGCAAGGGAGGAATAAAGAACATGGCAGACGCAATCACATGTAAATGCTTGTAAAAGCAACGGGGTCACTATGGGTGCAAGGGCTGGGTGTTAATGAAGAAGGCCAGGGACCATGGCTCAGGGAGGCACCGAAGGCCTGTCCAAAAGGGTTTAGCCCAACTGTGGATAATAAGAAACCATGGAGAGTTTTAGGCAAGGGAACAACATGGCCAGATTTTCGTATCAGAAAGGTTACCTGGCAGCAGTGCAAGGGGCATGATGATCAGAGAGGGTAGGGTTGAAAGGAGAGAGGGACCAGGCTGGAAGAGAGCAGACTTTCAGCCTATGTTATTCCCAAAAAATTCACGTCGTATAATAGATCTGTGAGGTTCAATAAAACTGGCTAGAGAAACAACTCTCACATTCCTGCTCATCAGGCGTGTGCCAGCAGTATTAAGAATACACCCATCTCATGGCCGGCCGGGCGCGGTGGCTCAAGCCTGTAATCCCAGCACTTTGGGAGGCCGAGACGGGCGGATCACGAGGTCAGGAGATCGAGACCATCCTGGCTAACACGGTGAAACCCCGTCTCTACTAAAAAATACAAAAAACTAGCCGGGCGAGGTGGCGGGCGCCTGTAGTCCCAGGTACTCAGGAGGCTGAGGCAGGAGAATGGCGTAAACCCAGGAGGCGGAGCTTGCAGTGAGCTGAGATCTGGCCACTGCACTCCAGCCTGGGCCACAAAGCGAGACTCCGTCTCAAAAAAAAAAAAAAAAAAAAAAAAAAGAATACACCCATCTCGGAGCACTGAAGTCCCTGGAGGTTGCTCTTCAGACATCACCATCACCACGCTTTGTCATTACAGGAAGGAAACATTGATTGAGAATCTTACCGTCATCATCAGAGACTAACTGGGGGGACCAACATCTACTTGCAGAATCCCTTTCCCTGACAATTTAAAGAAAACATTACATAAAATGATGTGTAATAGACATTAAGATCAAGTAGCTATTAATGCAGTAGTAATAACTCAAGAATGTTGAAAAGAACAGAAAAATGTCCCTCTGCACTTGCTTGCAAATGATTATACCTAAATATCAATGTCGGGCTTTTCCAGGATGAGAAAGAAAGAAAGAAAAAAAAACTTGACAAAGTACTTGTAGACATATTCTGCATTTCCCACACATCTGAACGGTGGTCCTCCAAAACCTACAAAAGGAGTAGTGAAATTGTATCATCCAGTCAAGTCAGTTCGTGCCACAACCAATACACAGGCTGGGGAAGTCGGGTTTGTTTTGGTGGTGGGAGCTATTTCTGAAGGAACTTCAGTAAAACCAACCAGGAAAAATCATTTTCTTTATATACAGAGCAACTTCTTAAAGGGATCACAAATCAAGGGGTTCCTTTGTGTTAAATGATGCAAACTATGCATAAACACATGCTCTATGCGGGAGTAGCAATGGAATGTGATGGGGAGAAAAGGGGAAGGTCAAAAGGAAAGGTGATGTGTTTGTTAGAGGACGAACTATGTAAATAAGCATTGCTCCAGAGACGGCCACCATGCTCCCCTCACTGAAGCACAACCTGAAAGAATCTGGGAGGCAAGCAAGAGAATGCGAGCAAGTGCGGGATTAGAGTCCTGAAGCCAGCTCCAGAAGCCCGCTGTAAATTTTGTCTCATCTCGATGTATATAAATATTATTAGTGTTCAGGACCATTAAGGGATTTCTTGAAAAGCCCTGGGCAGTGTGTCTCGCCAGCAGATGGATGGCTGTTCCATGTG